GAAAATGTGACAGATGACTTATATAAAAATATTTTTCTTATTTCTTTCATTTTTTAAAAAGATTTTTTAATTTTTTGAAAGGCAGAGAGAGAAAGAGACAGACTGAGATCTTCCATCCCTTGGCCCACTCCCCAAATGGCTGCAACAGTCAGAGCTGGGCCAATCTGAAGCCAGGAGTTTCGAGTGCAGGGGCCCAAGTATTTGGTTCATCCTCCACTGCTTTCCCAGGTGCACCACCTGGTACCTGTACCTGTGTATAAATGGGATGCTGGCACCTCAGGTGGTGGCTTTACTTGTTATGCCACAGTGCCAGTCCCCCCCCCCCCCCTTTTCTTTTAACATTATTTATTTTATTTGAAAGGTAGAGTTACAGAGAGTGTAGAGACAGAGATCTTCCATCTGCTGGTTCACTCCTTAAATGGTCACAATGACTAGGGCTAGGCCAAGCTGAAACCAGGAGCCAGGAGCTTCATCTGGGTTTCTTATGTGTGGAGGGGGCCCAAGCACCTGGGCTGGTATTCACTCTTCCCTAAGGCTCATTAGGAGGGAGCTGGATTGCAAGTGGAGTGGCTGGAACTCAAACCAGTGCCCATATGGGGTGCCAGTGCCACAGGCAGTGGCCCCAAGTATATTTCTTACATAAGAGGGCTAGAGATATGCGGTTGCTACAGTTGATCATCAGTGATCCAATAGCTCAGTGATGGGGCTGGTGCTGTGGCATAGCAGATAAACCTGCTGCCTACAGTGCATTCATCCCATATGGGCATTGGTTCAAGTCCTTGCTGCTCCACTTACAATCCAGCTCTGTGCTAATATGCCTGGGAAAGCAGTGGAAGATGGCCCAACTCCTTGGGTCCCTGCACCCAGGTGAGAGACCCAGAAGAAGCTCTGGGTTCCTGTCTTTGGATCAGCCCAGCTCCAGCTGTTGTGGCCATTTGGGGAGTAAACCAGTGGGTGGAGGATAACTCTCTGTCTTCTGCCACTCTAACTGCCTCTCAAATAAATAAATAAAAAATTTTTTAAAAATAGTGGTATCAAGACCTATGTTTCTTTAGACAGTCCACACATGTACACAAGATGGCTACTATAGTTCTAGCTGTTATCTGTCTTCAAAGAGAATGAAAGAAAAAGCAGGAACAAGAGCTGTGGCTGTTCAGGAAAATAAAACTTTTCATATGAATCCCTTAGCAGATTGTACTTAGTTCTCATGGGTAGAATAGTCGAATGGCTACTCCAAGATTGGAAGGTAGTTATCAAGGAGATGACTTCCTTTTTAGTGTACTTACTATTGTTTTGATGATGTTCAATGAAAAATATTTAATCATACTTCATCAATGTTAATCTCTAATTCTCTTTATACTTATGGTTCATACTATATAATTTAAATATTATATACTGTTGTCTGTTATTTATAGAGTATGATTTGACCTTGGCTCCTGTGTAGATTTTGTGTTTTTTGTTGTTGTTGTTGTTTTATTTGAAAGTCAGAGAGAGAAAATGTCTTCCATTTGCTAGTTCACTATCCAGCTGGCTGCAATGGCCGGAACTGCGCCTATCTGAAGCCAGGAGCTTCTTTGGTGTCTCCCATGTGGATGCAGGGGCCCAAGGACTTGGACCATCTTCTACTGCCTTCCCAAGCCTTAGCAGAGAGCTGGATCAGAAGTGGAGCAGCCGGGTCTCAAACTGGCGCCCACAGGGGATGCTGGCACTGCAAGTGGGAGCTTTACCTGCTACACCACAGCGCCACTCCCCCTTTAATTTTATTTATAGATTTTTTTTTTCTGTGTTAGATTTTTAAGTTCTTTTGTGTTTAGGACTCGATCTAGTTTTTGTGAGAGGATACAGTCTTTGAATTTTGGTAAGAAGGGAACTGGATATCATCAAGCCCACATCTTGTGACTCCTAGCAAATCCTCAATGTAAGAGAAACATGATGAATAATGAAAGAAGAGGGTTACTGAAAAATTTAGAATGGAAATGATAAAGAACATTAGTCAGAGCAAAAGACTAAAGAGAATGGATCTATTTGGAAATAAATACAGTTCTATTTCCTATGCAGATAGAGACCTTAACTAATTCACCTTTTCTAATTCACAAGGACAGAGAGCAGAAGGATATAGAAAATAACATTGTACTGAAGTCAGGAGCCTCAGTTCTAGATCTAGCTCTACTTATATAACTGTGATATTGGGCAGGTCATTTAATCTCTCTGATCTTCAGCTCCTCTTCTAGAATGGAGATATTAATTGCTGCTATACAGGATTGTGTGAGCATTAGAAATAGTACATTCTTAGTACTTCAAGGCAGCTGGCATATAATGAGCACCTCTAGTAGTTATTTCTTACCATTATTGTTAGTATTATTATTGTGTGATTGTGGAGCATTCCTTTTTGCTTTAATTAATCTTTACATATAAACTGCAAAAGCTAGCTGTTAACCTATTTTTTTTTTTTTAAGATTATTTATTTCAAAGTCAAGAGTTATAGAGAGAGGTCTTCTTTTTGCTGGTTCACTCCTCAAGTGGCTGCAACAGCCACAGCAGAGCCAGGATGAAGCCAGGTGCTTCCTCTGGATCTCTCATGTGGGTGGCAAGGACCCAAGTATTTGGGTCATCTGCTGCTGCTTTTCTCAGGCCATTAGCAGGGAGTCGGATTGTAAGTGGAGCAGCTGGGACACGAATTGGTGACTAAATGGGATGCCGACATCACAGGTGGCAGCTTTCCCTGCTATGCCACAATGCCAACTCCATAAATATGCTTTTGAAGAGTATTTTAACAATATGTAACAACCTGCCTTTGACCCAGCAATTCTACCTCTTAGGATTTTTTTTTTTTTTTAAGATTATTTATTTATTTGAAAGGCAGAATTAGAAAGAGGCAGAGAGAGAGGGAGGGAGAGTGAGAGAGAGGTCTTCCATCTGCTGGTTCGCTGCCCAAATGGCTGCAACGGCCAGAGCTGGGCTGATCTAAAGCCAGGATCCAGGAGCTTCTTCCAGGTCTCCCACAGGGTGCAGGGGCCCAAGGACTTGGCCCATCTTCTGCTTTCCCAGGCCATACAGAGAGCTGGATCGGAAGTGGAGCAGCCGGGACTCAAACTAGTGCCCATATGGGATTTTGGCACTGCAGGAGGTGGCTTTACCTGCTACGACACAGTATTGGCCCCAGGATTTTTCTTAAAGGAAGAATTCTAGGTGTATAAACATTTAGCTATGAGGATGCTCCTTTAGAAGTATCTTTAAAGTGAAAATATTGAAAAAAGCTAAAATAGAGGATAAATATTTATTGATGATGTGTCTGTATTTACTGAGTTGGAGAAATGTTCACAAAATGCAAAGAGTAAAATGTCAGTGACCCACTTAAAAGTAGTTTTTGAGGGAGAAGTCTGGAATACTATGGCATTATAGTTTTTTTTTTAAATAGATGTTTTTAGTTATCTGTTCTTTATAAGTATGCATTTTTATAATAAAATGAGGGCATAAAGAACTAAATTAATAAATGTTTATGCAAGTGATTTCTGGTCTGTACTTCCCTTCCAACACACAGAATACTTTTAAGTGTATGTTGTTCCCTAGATAAAGACAGATGGCTCATTAGGTTTCATAGGTGATTATTTGCCAATGAGCATGGCCTTTTGGTTATTTTTCATACTACTTCTAGCTGTTTTGTTAAATAGAGCTGGAGTGAGTGCTCATTTTTAAACTTACAGATTCCACAGGATGCATTGTAAAACTTTTTTTTATTAGCAGGAGTAGGGGTAGGTCTATCTTTGACTTGTTCCTTTTATTATGTATGTTGTGCCTTTTATGTGTATTGCAAAATCATTTTCTTGATGTCCACAAAGAGTAATTTTTTTTTAAAGTTTATTTTATTTATTGGAAAGGCAGAATTACAGAGAGAAAGGTCTTCCATTCGCTGGTTCATTCTCCAAATGGCCACAAGAGCTGGAGCTGAGTCTGTTTGAAGCCAGGAGTCAGGAACTTCATCCAGGTCTCCCCACATGGGTACAGTGGCCCAAGCACTTGGACCATCTTCCGCTGCTTTCCCAGAGTCATTAGCAGGGAGCTGATCAGAAGTGGAACAGGCGGCCGGCGCCGTGGCTCAATAGGCTAATCCTCCAATTTGCGGCGCCGGCACACCGGGTTCTAGTCCCGGTCGGGGCGCCGGATTCTGTCCCGGTTGCCCCTCTTCCAGGCCAGCTCTCTGCTATGGCCAGGGAGTGCAGTGGAGGATGGCCCAGGTGCTTGGGCCCTGCACCCCATGGGAGACCAGGAAAAGCACCTGGATCCTGGCTCCTGCCATCGGATCAGCGCGGTGCGCCGGCTGCAGCGGCGGCCATTGGAGGGTGAACCAACGGCAAAGGAAGACCTTTCTCTCTCTGTCTCTCTCTCTCACTGTCCACTCTGCCTGTCAAAAAATAAAAAAATAAAAAAAAAATAAATAAAAAAAAAAAAAAAAAAAGAAGTGGAACAGGCGAGACTCCAATCAGCACCCATATGGGATGCTACAGACAGTGGCCTAATCCACTATGCCATAGTGCCAGCCCTAAAAAAGTAATTTTTGAAAATATTTCTAAGGAAAAAAACCTGTACTTGACAAAATTGTGTCTAGCTCTTACTATGCAACATCTAGTTGGAAGAATGAGGTGTACAAGTGAGTAAACTGAGTAAAGCCTGTTCTTCAGGAATTTGCATGGTTAATTAATATAAATTGGATGGTAAGTGTTATAGCAGAGATATAAACAAAGCACTGTGGCGTTGGAGAGGCTGTTACATAAGGAGGCAGAAATTGCCTCTTTCCAGTTCCAAATGTATTTACTTCAAGAAATGTCTTCAAGTTACTCTCGCACTCCCCCAAAAAACTTTTAGATTGATTTGCCAAAGTAAAACATATTGTTCTGGTGATTTTCAAAATTGAAAATGTTATAGTAAAACCAAAGTAATTGTTAGGGAATCAGTACCTTAATTAATGTTCAACCAAATTTCTGAACCATTTCTTTGCACAGAAGGTAACCCATTGGGAAAAGTGATACAAATACTGGGAAAAATCTGCTGGTCTGCACTAAGGAAAATGTCACAAGTTCAAAGTTCTTATACCTTTGATGCTCCCACGGACTTCATCAATTTTACATCTTTGAATGATGAAGAAGATAGCGAAAATGTAGATTTGTGGTTTGGTAAGTGTCAAGTTTCTGTGGCCATTTTCGGGGTTAGTGGCTTACTTTGTGCTGAGGATCTTTCAAATACAGAAGCAATTGCAAGAAAATAGCTAAAATCGAAACTCCCTTCCATACTAAGACATGTTGTCTTCCATGCTATCCTAGAAATACAGTTGGCCCTTGAACAACACTAATTTTTGCAGATTCACTTACTGTGCAAACTTGGCTTTTTTTTTTTTTTTTTTTTTTTTTTTTTTTTGAGATTTGTGACACTTTGGAAAAATTTCCAGACAAAACATGTAGCCTTGAAATATCAAAAGAATTAAGAAAAAGATAAGTCATGATTGCATAAGAAATATGTAAATAATAGCTTATGTTATCATTTCCCTGAGAAAATGTGTGGACTTATGAGGATTTCTTTTTCCAAGTTTTTCTTTCTTTTCTTTTTTTTTTTTAAATTTTTTTTTTTATTTTTTTGACAGGTAGAGTGGACAGTGAGAGAGAGAGAGACAGAGAGAAAGGTCTTCCTTTGCCGTTGGTTCACCCTCCAATGGCCGCCGCGGCCGGCACGCTGCGGCTGGTGCACCGCGCTGATCCGATGGCAGGAGCCAGGTGCTTCTCCTGGTCTCCTATGGGGTGCAGGGCCCAAGCACTTGGGCCATCCTCCACTGTACTCCCTGGCCACAGCAGAGAGCTGGCCTGGAAGCGGGGCAACTGGGACAGAATCCGGCGCCCTAACCGGGACTAGAACCCAGTGTGCCGGCGCCGCTAGGTGGAGGATTAGCCTACTGAGCCGCCGCGCTGGCCTCTTTTCTTTTTTTTTAAAGATTTTTTTTTTATTTATTTGTTTGAAGCAGAATTATAGACAGACAGAGGGAGAGACACAGAGAGATCTTCAATCCACTGGTTCACTCCCCAAATGGTCGCAACAGCCGGAGTTGGGCTGATCTGAAGCTAAGAGCCAGGAGCTTCTTCTGGGTGTCCCATGTGGGTGCAGGGCCCGAAACACTAAGGCCATCTTCCAGTAGTTTTCCAGGCTGTTAGCAGAGAGCTGGATCAGAAGAGGAGCAGCCAGGGCACAAATTGCTGCCTTTAGGGGGTGCCGGTGCTGTAGGTGGAAGCTTAACCTTCTGTGCCACAGTGCCAGCCCCATTCAAGTTTTCTTTACATCAACAACAAAGGTATAAGCATAACAATACTATAAAATATAGTTTAAATGAAAAAAGTGAATCTCACAGCCTTCCTTAGTTCTAATATTTACTTCCCAATTTTCTTCCAGATAATCACATCTTTTTATACAGTTGCAGTCAGAGAATACATACAGAGAGTAGTTATTGCTAGGATTTGCTGCATTCCTGAAGCTGTCAGTAGAACAAACTTTTCACTGTTTTGCACTGATTAGTTCCTAGGGAGAACCTAGCTCTGCTCTAGCCTAACACATCCCACATTCCCTTCTTATCTCCCTAGTTGAGGAAGATCTGTAAGACTAGAAGATGTCCTTTGTGAGCCCTACAGATTCTCGTGGCTATAGTTTTCTGTAAGAGGAACATGATGTATTTTAGTGATAGATAAAGCCAGTTTATGCTTGTATGGCCCTAACTGTGTATCAAGCCAAGATTAGGAGCTATTCACAGTGCAAAGTCTGCACTTTGCTTTTTCTATAATGCATTGTTTAATGTTGCCAGTTTTTTAGTGATAGTTTTTAAAGTCTATCTGTGACTTGCACTTGTTTCCTTTTGTTTGCTAGAACTTTACTTGGGTTGGAAGTATATCAGTAGGGGGCTTTAGTCCCCATTTTAAGTATGTGGCACTGATTATAGCTTTCTTACTGATTTTTCGGATGATAATGATCTTACCTTTTCACAGAGGAGAAGGCCAATTTGGAGAATAAATTTCCTGGGAAGAATGGGACAGGAGAGCTTTTGCATGGCAAAACTACTCTGAGGAAAGCTAATCTTCAGCAAGCTGGTGTCACACCTCTGAGACAAGGTAAAAAAGACTATTTTAGAAAAAAAAGTTCCTTGGCAGAAAGAAGAGACAGTACAATAGAAACCTGAGGGGGAAGATTATCTAAATGCTTTTTATTAATAATTAAATTGACTAATTAATTTTCTCATGGGAAAAAATGTGCTGTGCTGTGCTTTTTTGAAAATCTTTTGTAACTTAAGGTAATACGTAATTTTATTGCCAGACACATAACTGTTTGTCTTCTTATAATATTTAAAAAAAAAAAAAGATTTATTTATTTATTTGAAAGGCAGAGTTACAGAGAGGCAGAGGCACAGAGAAAGAGAGATAGAGAGGTCTTCCATCGCTGGTTCACTCCCCAGATGGCCGCAATGGCCCGAGCTGAACCAATCTGAAGCCAGGAGCCAGGAGCTTCTTCTGGGTCTCCCACATGGGTGCAGGGGCCCAAGGACTTGGGCCATCTTTTACTGCTTTCTGAGGCCATAGTAGAGAGCTGGATTGGAAGTGTAGCAGCCAAGACTCAAACTGGCGACCAAATGGGATGCTGGCTCTACAGGTGGCAGCTCTACCACAGTGCCAGCCCCCTTATAATAAAATTTAATGTAAGCTCTCCTGTGTGTCTGACTGGGAAACAAAACAACAGGAGAACCATTGTACAAGAATTTTTACAAGAAATTTTAAAAGATGATTGACATTTAAACTAGCAGTTACTTAATATGCAGAATATTGTCTTACTTGATGAGAACATGAGAAGCATTCTGTAAGAGGTCATAAATTCGTCTTTAAAATGATTACTTTAAAACAGCTCTACATATATCGCAGCATGTAATTCACCTACTGAAAATGTAAAATTTCAATATTTTTTGTTAGCTGAGCAGCCATTACCATCATCATTATACAATATTTGAAAATTGTTCTGTGGGTAAATCTGAAATCATTCTCAGTCACACCATTAAAAACTCTCCAGTTAAAAGAGTTGACTAGAGGCCAGTGCTGTGGCGCAATGGGCTTACCCTTCACCAGCAGTGTGGCATCCCATATGAGCATCTGTTTGAGTCCCGGCTATTCCACTCCAATCTAGATCTCTGCTAAGGCCTGGGAAAGCAGTAGAGGATGGCCCAAGTGCTTGGGCCCCTCCACCCAAGTGGGAGACCCAGAAGAAGATCCTGGCTACTAGCTTCAGATTGACTCCTAGCTTCAGATTTGCTCAGCTCTGGCCGTTTTGACTATTTGGGGAGTGAACTGGTAGATGGACGACTTCTCTCTCTCTGCCTCTGCCTCTCTGTACCTCTCTCTTCCAAATAAAGCTTTATGGGGAGAAAAAGTTAACTAAAGGGGCTATATCGGAGAAATAGCTGTATTTTCAGTGAACTCGATTAGTATACAGAGTTTGAGCTGCTGTGCTGATTGTGAAATGATTCATGGTTATAGGAGATAAATACTGAATTTGGGGTCTGGGTAAGCACCTTGAACTTTGGTGAATTTCTCCTTCTTACAGAGGGAATAGAACTGTTTGGCATGTTTCATCTGAAACATGGTCTTCAAAAAGTTCATGGAGGAGTCATAGTTGTGATGCAGTGGGTTACGCCAGCTCTTGTGATGCTGACATCCCATATGAGTGCAAGTTTGAGTCCCACCTGTTCCACTTCTGATCCAGCTCCTTGTTAGTGTGTCAGGGAAAGCATTGGAAGATGGCTCAAGTGCTTGGGTCCCCTGCTACCCATGTGGGAGACCCCGATGGAGTTCCTGGCTTTGGCATGGCCCAGCCCTGGCCATTGCACCACTGGGAGTGAACCAGGGGATGAAAGATCTCAATCTTTCTTTGTCTCTCTCACTTACTCTCTCTGTAACTGCTTTTCCATTAAAATAAGCAATTTTTATTAAGTTCATGGAAAATGTGTATTATGTACTCTCTAACTCTGCCTGCCTTTCAAATAAATAAATCAATCTTTAAAAAAGGAATGAATGAAGTTGTGTTACACTAACAGATCTGGCATTGAATATTTACATAATCATGATAATGTGAATACTGCTAATATAACATCCACAGTGCATGGATTTCAAAATTTTGCTCCAAAATAAACTTACCTCTTAACTCCATTTTTCATGATCCTTTTGAAATATCTTTGTGCTTTGAACACCATGGGCCTTAGGGCTGTATTTTCAGTTGAATTTCATTTATTTATTCAGTGTGACAGATTTTCTGTTGCTGTGATCTTTCTGCTTTTCTTAAATTGAGAGGGAATGCACTTTGAGTAAAGACTGTTTTGTATCCAGTGATTCACATCGTCACATACAACAGTAAGTCCCTAAGTAAGAGGCCTCTGTTGGATCTACCCTGTGGTAAAGACCATGTACCCTACTTAAATGTGTGACCCTTAAACTCCTCAGAGTCTTTGTATTCATTTTTTCTTTTTAGATGGTCCCAGGAATTACTCTTGAAACTGATCTTTTTTTTAAATTCCATGAACTTTTTTTTTTTTTTTTAAAGATTATTTATTTGAAAGGCAGAGTTACAGAGAGGCAGAGAGAGAGAGGTCTTCCATCTGCTGGTTCACTCCCCAGATGGCCTTAATGGCTACAGGTACGATGTTTCGATCACAGGAGACAGGAGCTTCTTCCTGGTCTCCCACACTGGTGCAGGGGCCCAAGAACTTGCGCCATCTTCTACTGCTTTCCCAGGTCATAGCAGAGAGCTGGATCAGAAGTAGAGCAGCCAGGACTCGAACTGGCACCCATATGGGATGCCGGCACTGCAGGCAGTGGCTTTATCCACTATGCCACAGTGCCAGCCCCTGTATTCATTCTTGTTATACATTCTCATTCCTTTGGCAATGTTTTTCCCTCTGCCTAGGATACTTTTTTTTTTTTTAAATATATTTTTAAAATTTATTTGAAGGGCAGAGTTAGAGAGAGACAGACAGAGAGAGATGTCTTCCATCTGCTGGTTCACTCCCCAAATGGCTGTGATGACTAGGGCTGGGCCAGGTCAAAGTCAGGAGCCAGAAGTTTCTTCTTGTTCTTCCACAAGGGCCCAAGCCATTGAGTCATTTTCCACTGCATTCACAGGAGCTTTAGCAGGGAGCTGCATTGCAAGTGGAGCAGCTGAGACTTGAACCAGCATCCATATGGTATGCCTGCGCTGCAGGCTGGGGCTTTAACCTGCTGTGCACAGTAGGTTAAGATAAACTCTTACAATACCAGTATCTCATATCACAGTGCCAATTGGCTTCCTGGCTACTCTACTTTAATGTGCCTGGGAAGGCAATATCTATAAGGTTATGTCTATAATGCTTTATAATCTGATTATATTAGCAATATTCATATTATCATGATTATGTAAATAATCAATGCCAGATCAGTTAGTGTGACACAACTTCATTCATTTTTTTTTTTTTTAAGATGTATTTATTTGAAAGGCAGGCAGAGTTAGAGAGGCAGAGAGAGAAAGAGGGAGATAGAGAGAGAGAGGTCTTCCATCTGTTGGTTCACTCTCCAAATGGATGTAATGGTCAGGGCTGGGCCAAGCCAAAGCCAGGAGCTTCTTCTGAGTCTCTCCCATGGGTGCAGGGCCCCAAGCACTTGGGCCATCTCCTGCTGCTTTCCCAAGCGCATTAGCAGGGAGCTGTAGCGGGAGTGGAGCAGCCAGGACTCTAACTGGTACCCATATGGAATGCCGGCACTGCAGGTGGTGGCTTTACCTGCTATGCCACAGCGCCAATCTCGTCATTCCTTCTTGGTTCTTCTTGACTCTTCAGTTCCATTGCTATGACCTCTGGGTCACAGAGGATGATTCTGATATCAAGATCATGTGCATTTTCTTTTCTTTAAATGTTATCAATTGCTTAACTTTTTGCTACACTGTAGTCAGTTTCATTTTAGAAAGTGATTCTTGGAAGTTAAAGCTGCCTTTTTGGGAGGGCACTTCTCTTTTTGTTAATATCTTTGCTCCCTTATTCTGAATATTCTTTCTTCATATACTACTTCATTTTGCAGGGACACATGTTCAAAGAACGTCCTCAGATTAGTTGTAGGGAGGAAAACTTTGAATTCTCATATTTGTAAAAGTCGTTCCACTTTCATATATAGTTGAAAGGTTGAGTTAATATAGAATTGTAGATTGAACATTACTTAACTACGTTGTTCTTTTCTCTTCTAACCTGTATTACTAATGAGAAATTCAGTGCTTTTTATTTTTACCTGGGTGATTTCGATGTAAGCTTTCAGAGTTTTATCTTTGTTAATGTTCTGAAATGCTAAGAGGTTATGTTTGGAGTGCTTTCTTCTGAGGTAGTGTCTTAGGCTTGCAAATGGACAGGGCCCTGGATACTTCATTTCTGTTTCAACCAAAGTAACTTTTTCTTAAATTGACACGTAATATTTCTATGTAATATTTTTGGGTTACAGTGTTATAATTCAATACATGTGTATAATGTATGAGAGAGTTGCTTTTATAAACTAGCCTTCTGCATAAGAGTTCACTGGAACTAATGTTTCATTGCTTAGGAGGTGTGTGTGTGTATAGTTTTTTGATCTATATTAAATTATGTATCTCCAGCTCATTCCTTGGACTTTCAGTGCTAACTAGTTTTTGATCTCCCACAGTTGATAACACTTATTACAAAGAGGCAGAAAAAGAAAATATTGTGGAACAGTCTTTGCCTTCAAATGCTTATTCTTCCCTGGAAGTGGAGGGAGTAATATTGAAAAATACTCCAGCTCAACCTCAAAGGTAAGACTGTCTGGTACTCAAAAGTTGTGACTATCAAAAAAATGTAAAAAATAAATAATAATGGCAGAGTACCTACTATGTGTGTGTACTGTGTTAGACTCTATTTTGTCTTATTTAATCCTTATAACATTTATTAGTTATAGATAATATGCTAATTTGTAGATGAGGACTCAGAAATACTAAGTTGCTTGTCCAAGGCTGAGAGAGCACTCCCATCTACTGGCTTACTCCCCAAATGCCTGCATTGGCCGGGATGAGGCAGGACTGAACCAGGAGCTAGGAACTCAATCTAGGTCTCCTACATGGGTGGCAGGGGCAAAATTTCTTGAGTTATCACTGCTACCTCCCAGGGTGCCCATTAACAGGAAACTAGAATTGGGAATGGAGATGGACTCAAATCTGAAGCACTCTGGTATGTAATATGGGCATTTCAACTTGCATATTAACTGCTAAGCTAGATGCCCACTCCACCTAGAAAAGGAGAAGGTAATTGTCAGCAAGTTGTTGTTTTTGTTTTTTATTCAACTTCATTGGGGTCTATTTACTAACACTGGTTTATTAATTCATTTTTTAAAGATTTACTTATTTATTTGAAAGGCAGATTTATAGACAGGAAGAGGGAGAGACAGGTCTTCTATCCACTGATTATTTCCCCAAATGGCCACAACAGCCAGGGTTGGGACAGGTTGAAGCCAGGAGCTTGGAAATTCATCTGGGTCTCCCATATGAGTGGCAGGGGCTCAAGTCCTGGACCACCCTCTGCTGCTCTCCCAGGCACAAGAGCAGTGAGCTGGATCAGAATTGGAGCAACCTGGACTCAACCAGCATCCATATGGGATGCTGGCATCACAGGTGGTGGCTTTGCCCATTACACCACAGCACTGGCCCGAACCAGCATTTAAATAATCAAATTTTATTTGTTGAATTTTTTTTAACTTTTTTTTAAAAAGATTTATTTATTTGAAAGTCAGAGTTACACAGAGAGAGGAGAGGCAGAGAGAGAGAGGTCTTTCAACCATTGGTTGACTCCCCAGATGGCTGCAACTGGACAGAGCTGCGCTAATCTGAAGCCAGGAGCCAGGAGCTTCTTCTGGGTCTCCTACGTGGGTGCAGGGGCCCAAGGACTTGGGCCATCTTCTACTGCTTGCCCAGGCCACAGCAGAGAGCTGGATTGGAAGTGGAGCAGCTGAGACTAGAACCGGCGCCCATATGGGATGCCGGTGCTTCAGGCCAGGGCGTTAACCTACTGTGCCACAGCACCGGCCCCCAAGATTTTTTTTTTTAAAGATTTATTTATTTATTTGAAATGCAAAGTTAAAGAGAGAGAGAGGGAGAGAGAGAGGTCTTCCATCTGCTGGTTCACTCCCCAAAAGGCCACATGGCCAGAGCTGCACCAGTCCAAAGCCAGGAGCTTCTTCCAGGTCTCCCATGTTGGTGTAGGGGCCCAAGGACTTGGGCCATCATCCATTGCTTTCCCAGGCCATAGCAGAGAGCTGGATTGGAAGTGGAGCAGCTGGAACTTGAACCAGCACCCATATGCGATGCCAGCACTGCAGGTGGCAGCTTTACCTGCTATGCCACAGCACTGGCCCCAAGATTTATTTATTTATTTGAAAGGCAGAGTTACAGAGAGGCAGAGGCAGAGAGAGACAGAGAGAAGTCTTTTATCTGCTGGTTCACAACCCAAATGGCCGCAATGGCTGGAGCTGGGCCAATCCACAGCCAGGAGCCAGGAACTTCTTCCAATTCTCCCATACAGGTACAGGGGCCCAAGGACTTGGGCCATCTTCTACTGCTTTCCCAGGCCATATCAGAGAGCTGGATTGGAAGTGAGGCAGCTGGGACTCAACCAGTGCCCATATGGGATGCTGGTATTACAGGTGGAGGCTTCATTTACTTGTTACACCACAGTGCCGGCCCCTGTGTGTTGAATTGCAAAATCTATGGACGAGAAAGATTAAATTCTTAGAGTGGAAATACTAATACTAAACTTATTATAGCTATTGTAGTTTGACATACTTGCATGTTTCTAAGGAAAATTTGCATATCTGTAGTAGATACATTCATTTTCGATTAATTTTGTCAATTCCTTCACCATAGAAGATCTGTTAGACTCTCTGCTCAGAAGGATTTGGAACAGAAAGAAAAATGCCATGTAAACATGAAAGCTAAGAGATGTGCCACTCCTGGAATCATTAGTGACATTCCACCTTCCAAAAAAATGAAAGTGTAAGTAATTATGCTTCTTATTGCAAGGATAGACATATTGTACCTTGTATACCTGTAAGATAAGTTTCTTTCCTGAATTTGAATTTTAAAGTGAATAGAGTAAAATCACAACTGGGAACATATTTAATCCCTTTGATGCACTTGGAGCTTGGGAAACTTCTAAAGCCATGACCATGGTTAGGTGAATGGCTACTTGTCAACTTGGAGAGTGCTCAAATTGTAGTTGTCACAGGTTAATAAAAAGCTGAGTACTTGGTACTTGTTCTTACCAGTTACAAATGTATTTTGCTGCAAGTTAATTAGTCTATTTAGTCTCAGTGGTTTAATGAGTAGTGATTTATTTTCACAGAAGTGTAGAAGTACAGTCTGCTGACTGGTTCAGAGAACAGTGTTAGGGCTAACATCTGTGATTCTTAGCTTTTTCCTTTTCCTTGTTGCCTCATTGTCACAAGATTTCTGTTATATTTCTATTTTTTAAATATTTATTTATTTGAAAGGAAGTATGACAGGGAGAGACAGAAAAATCTTAAATCCACTGATTCACTTCCCCAAATGGCTACAACAACCAGATCTGAGTCAGGTCAAAGCCAGGAGCCTAGAACTCTGTGCTGGCCAAACACTTGGTCCATCATCGGTTGCCTTCCCAGGCACATTAGAGTAGCCAGGAAGCAAACTGGCACTGTAGTATGGTATACTGGCATTGTAAGAGGTATCTTAACCCACTGTGCCACAATGCCACTATATTTCTAGGCATATCATGTTCAAGGAGAGTAGGGCAAAAGAAGTAGGCAGTACCAATATAGCAGGAAAGTGAAATCTTTCTCAAAACCATTTATTTATTTATTTTTTTTCAAAGATGCATTTATTTGAGAGGCAGAGTTACTGACAGAGAGAGGGAGAGACCAAGAGAAAGGTCTTCCACCCGCTTGTTCACCTCCCAAATGGGCGCAATGGCTAGAGATGGACCTATCTAAAGCCAGAAGCCAGGAACTTCTTCCGGGTCTCCTATACCCGTATTGGTGCCCATATGGGATGCCAGTGCCACAGGTGGAGGCTTAGCCCACTATACCATAGCACCAACCCCATCTGTTTCAGTTATGTCTTAGTTCCCTAGACTGTCATTTGGATCCCCTAGTTGCAACAGAGGCTGTCAAGTATAATCCTTACTTGTAACTTGGTGCATTGCTGCTTCCTCCTCAAAATTTGGGGTTCTATTAGTAAGAAAGAGATGGAATAGGTATCAGAAAGGCAAGTAGCTGTCTGCTGTTTGATCATTTGATGATGAGCAAGTGAAATTCCTCTTTACCATTGGAAAATTCTTAACTTCCACTGGCTTTCTCAAAGCTTACTCGTTGGAACCATTGGTATGTATGATCTAATGATACTGTTGGAAGAATCTTGTAGCTGAAGCATATTTGTTATCCTAAAGAATGAGAAAATTTCATCCACACATAGTAGATTTAGGGAGGTGAGTGGTATGTGATATACTTAACAAGTTATGCATGTTTTGTCCTCTTCCATTCCAGTTCTAATAATAAGAAGAAATCAGAGGAAGAAGGCAGTGCTCGTAAAGATATTTCTGGCAAGAATGAATCTTCTCCAGAAAAAGCTAAAGGTAGCAGACACACTGTAGCTTGTGTACCACCTGTAAGGTAAGTTTCTTTTCTTTTCAGAGTGAAATAGGGTAAAATTACAAATGGGAACATAGGCAATCTGGTACACTTGGAGCTTGGGAAACTATTAAGGCTGTGACATCCTGAGATGAATTTTTCTGTTCTTGGATGGTGTTCAACTCTTAAAACAATGAGGAACACATGCTATTAAAGCAAATAAAAAGAAAGAATAAAGAGAAAAGTTGGAAATGTTCTTAGTACCTAAATTGAATAGATCTTTTTTTCCAATTCCCTTCTAGTCTTTACCTAAGTAAACATACATACAAGTATTTTCAGTCAAATAACATTAACATCCTTTTTATTCACTTGCCTGGAGACCATTTCATTTTTTTCCCCTGTGCTGCTGCGAAGTTGTCTCATTTATCATCAAATTATATTTAACCATATCCTGTTAAAAGCATAGTTTCCAGTGTTTATTCTTATAAGTAATCTGTGAACCAACTTCACAGGTAGAGCCATTTCTCTGAGTGGTTTTCTCAGCATAAGGAAAGATTCTGTGATCAAAAGGTCTGACTGGTTTTATGGGTGTTGATATTTATAGGCAATTTAAAAAGCATTTATTTATTAGAGGGAGAAGAGAGCATCTGCAAGAGCACTCCCCAAACTGCTGATTGACTCCCCAAATGCCCATATAGAGCAAAGAATGCAGTCCAGGTTGTCCATGTGCATGGCAGGAACTCAGTGACTTGAAACATTCACCTCTGACTCCTAGGGTCTGCATTAGCAGAAAGCAGGAATCAGGAGCCAGAACCATGTACTAGGTACTCTAGTATGGGAGAAAAGTATTGTAACTGCCAGCCTAAACACCTGTTCTCTGCCAATTTTATTTCTGCCATAAAAGTACTGATTTACATACTACTGGCTTTGAAAGAATATTTTTATAACCTTGTAAGCTTACCTGCTTTTTTTTTTTTTCTAAAGATTTATTTTATTTATTTGAAAGAGTTAGAGAGAGAGGTAGAGACAGAGAGAGAGGTCTTCCATCCACTGGTTCACTCCCCAGATGGCTGCAACAACTGGAGCTGTGCAAATCCGAAGCCAGGAGCTTCCTCCAGGTCCCCCACTTGGGTGCAGGGGCCCAAGGACTTGGGCCATCTTCACTGCTTTCCCAGGCCATAACAGAGAGCTGGATCAGAAGAGGACTTGAACTGGTGTCCATATGGGATGCCGGCACTGGAGGTGGTGGCTTTACCTGCTCTGCCACAGTGCCAGCCTCTGCTATTATTAATTATATTCACCACATTGTATGATAGATCTCAATAAAAAAAAGTATTCTTCCTGAGATTTAAAAAAATTTTTTTCTTAGACCATCTCCCCATTCTTCCCAGCATCAAATTATTTTTATTTTAATTTATTGACAATACTATTTTTTTTTTTTTTTAAGATTTGTTTATTTGAGTTACAGAGAGAGAGAGGAGAGAAATCTTCCATCCTCTGGTTCACTCTCCAAATGGCCACAACCACAGGACTGGGCCAGGCTGAAGCCAGGAGCCAGGAGCTTACTTTGGGTCTCCCATGTGGGTGCAGGGTCCCAAGCACCTGGGCCATCCTCTGATTTCCCAGGCACATTAACAGGGAGCTGGATTGGGAATGGAACAGCCAGGGCTTAAACTGGTATCCATACGGGATGCTGGCACTACAGGTGGAGGCTTAACTTTCTATGGTACAATACTGATTGCCCCATGTAACTCTGCCTTTCAAACAAATAAAAAGTAAATCTTAAAAAAAGAAAGAGTGGCTACTGTATATATATATTGAACTTTACTGTGTGTCAAGCACTCTAGGAACATCTGATTTAACAGCCACAAATATTCCATGAGCATGGGTATTTACATTCCTTAATTTTTAGTGGAGAAAACAGGCTCAAAGATTTAAATAGTTTTCTCAAGATTATATAGACAGAAAATGAAATGACATTGGGATTTGAAGCTTATTTGGCTTTACTTTTAAAGACTCTATTACACTCATTTTATGTATCTTAACCCATTGCTATATTTGGAAATATTTTTCCTATTCTAGTTTTTATTGTTGTTGTTGTTGTTGTTAAGGATTTATTTATTATTTGTAATGGAGAGTTATAGAGAGAGAGAGTGAGAGAGAGAGATCTTCAGCTGCTGATTCACTACCCAAATGGCTGCAACAGCCGGGAATGCCATAGGCCAAACCCAGGAGCCTGGGACTCTATTCAGGTCTCCAATGTGGGTGCAGGGGCCCAAACACTTGCTGTTTTTCCCAGGCTCATTAGCAGGAAGCTGGATGGAAGTGGTACAGCTGGCATTGAAACTGGCACCCATATGGATGTTGGTGTTACAGATGGTGGTTTAATCTGCTGTGCCACAATGCTTGCCTCTCTATTAGTCTTTTAATTTTAGTTTTTCTTGCAACATAAATACTCATCATATTGTCAGATTTATGGATTTTCTGTAATATCTTCTCTACTCTGTTTCAGCTATTTTTTCTGAAATTATTCAATATTTTGATTTATTTTTCACAGTGTTATCTAATAAGTATCTGTTCATTAGATAATTTTTGATTTTGATTATTTTATCAGGTTTAAAATATAGTTTTTTGGGGGACCGGTGCTGTGGTATAGTGGGTAAAACTGCCGCCTGCAGTGCCGTTATCCCATATGGGAGCTGGTTCAAGTCTCAGCTGCTCCAATTTCCATCCAGCTTTCTGCTGTGGCCTGGGAAAACCGATGGCTCAAGTCCTCGGGCCCCTGTACCCGTGTGGGAGACCCAGAAGAAGCTCCTGGGTCCTGGCTTCAGATCGCTGCAGCTCTGGCCATTGCGGCCATCTAGGGAGTGAACCAGCACATGGAAGAACTCTCTCCGTCTCTCTGCCTCTCCTTCTCTCTGTGTAACTCTGACTTTTTTTTTTTTTCTTTTTTTTTGACAGGCAGAGTGGCAAGTGAGAGAGAGAGACAGAGAGAAAGGTCTTCCTTTTGCCGTTGGTTCACGGCCGGCATACCATGCTGATCCGAAGGCAGGAGCCAGGTGCTTCTCCTGGTCTCCCATGGGGTGCAGGGCCCAAGCACTTGGGCCCTCCTCCACTGCACTCCCGGGCCATAGCAGAGAGCTGGTCTGGAAGAGGGGCAACCAGGACAGAATCTGGCGCCCTGACTGGGATTAGAACCCGGTGTGCCGGCGCCGCTAGGTGGAGGATTAGCCTATTGAGCCGCGGCGCCGGCCGTAACTCTGACTTTCAAATAAATAAATAAATCTTTTTTTTTTAAAGAATAAATAAATCTTTAAAAAATAAATAAAAATATAGGTTTTGTTTTAAAGATTTATTTTATTTATTTGAAAGAGTTACAGAGAGAGGTAGAGACAGACAGTGAGGTCTTCCATCTGCTGGTTCATACCCCAAATGGCCACAATGGCTGGAGTTGAGCCTATCTGAAACCAGGAGCCAGATGCCTCCTCCAGGTCCCCTACGTGAGTGTAGGTACCAAGGACCTAGGCTTTCCCAGGTGCACTGGTCGGGAGCTGGATTGGAAGTAGAGCAGCTGGGTCTCAAGCAGCGCCCATATGGGATGCTGGTGCTGCAGGCCAAGGCTTTAAACCCAGCTCACCATAGCGCCGGCCCCAAAACATGGTTTCTATATTTGCCCTTAGATTCTATCGAATCGGTGAGCCTCTATTATGTCTTACTGATTTAACTTTCAGACAGAAGGTTTTGAAAAGTACTGAGGAGCAAGAGTTGGAGAAGAGAATGAAAATGCAACAGGAAGTGGTGGAGATGCGGAAAAAGAATGAAGAATTCAAGAAGCTTGCCCTTGCAGGAGCAGGTTAGCTTGATTCTGGTAGATGCTAATTTGTGAAGAATGCTGCTAGTGATCTTGGTAGGGTTTTTTTTTTTTTTTTTTTTTTTTTTTTGAGGTCTCAGCCAAAAAGGCTTATTAGTCTCAGCATAAAAAACATGTTTATTTAGAAAGCTGGATGTGGATTCTTTATATCACAATGGTGTTTCTATAGAACATTTTATGTACGTTAGCCTTCCTTAGATCATGCCATTCCTTTTTTGAAATAGAAAAAGAAGAAACTAGGATTGAGACAGATGGTAATTGAGCAGGTTTTTTTTGTTTTGTTTTGTGTGTTTTTTTTTTTTTTTTTTTTTTTTTCCTGTTAATCCATTTCATTATAATCTAAAGGCAAAGGAATGGAAAACTGAGTAAGATCCAGTTGCAGCTATGGAGGAAAAGATGACTGAAGGAGCTGCAGGTTGGGGAGAGTCATAGTTCTGCTTTGCTATGACATTGCGTTTTTATTGTTGGGGTTAAAGCTATTAAGTCTTGTTTACTGTGTTGAAAAAGCACTCCCAAAATGGCTACAATGGCTAGGGCTGGGCCAGGCTAAAAACAGGAGCCTGAAACTCCATCTAGGTCTCTCATGTGGGTGCCATCTTCTGTTGCTTTCCCAGGAGCATTAAAAGGGAGGTGGATCAGGAACAGAGCAACTGGGACTTGAACTGGAGCTTGTGTATAGAACGCTGGTTTTGTAGGCAGTGGCTTAACCCAGTGCACCACAAGGATTCTTATTCTCTATAGAGAATTCTGTTCTCTACATGTAGTAGTGTCCGTGAGGACTGTTTCTGCTTTTGGGTGACATGTAGATGGTGAACCGTCAGATCCATGGTAATAGAAATACCAAAAGGTCTGGAGTAAAAAAGGACTTATTGATGTTTCCTATTCTTTTTAAGTTTTAATTATTTTTAACAGAATCAATATGGTTTGTAGGTAAAATTCTAAAAACATAGTGATATTTTCTTCCTCCTTCCCCCAATCTTTTATGATTTTAATGTTATCTGTGTTTTACTGTGTTCCTCACTCAGGGCAACCTGTGAAAAAATCAGTGAGCCAGGTAACCAAATCGGTTGACTTCCACTTTCGCACGGATGAGCGAATCAAACAACACCCAAAGAACCAGGAGGAATATAAGGAAGTGAACTTTACATCTGAACTGCGAAAGCATCCTCCATCTCCGGTGAGTTGATGGACTAAATGAATAGCCCTGTTACTAATTCAGTTAGGATTTCAGATGTAACATTTGTGGTTACTATTTATATTAGTATAATCAAGACAGACATGTTTTGAATTAGATAATCTAAATTCTCATTTTGCCCCTGTTATCTTTGTGATCTTGAATAAATCACTACCTTTCCAGGAACCAGCGTACCAAATTGTTGTGAAGACTTGATTGAGAATGTAGGTAAAATAGATAGCATTGTGAATGGGAAATTACAATTTCGGCATTTATACTGTTAGGAAATTCTTTTTTTTTTTTTTTTTTTTTTTTTTTTGACAGGCAGAGTGGACAGTGAGAGAGAGACAGAGAGAAAGGTCTTCCTTTGCCGTTGATTCACCCTCCAATGGCCGCCACAGCCGGCGCGCTGCGACCGGCGCACCGCGCTGATCTGATGGCAGGAGCCAGGTGCTTCTCCTGGTCTCCCATGGGGTGCAGGGCCCAAGCACTTGGGCCCTCCTCCACTGCACTCCCTGGCCACAGCAGAGAGCTGGCCTGGAAGAGGGGCAACTGGGACAGAATCCGGTGCCCTGACCGGGACTAGAACCCGGTGTGCTGGCGCCGCAAGGCGGAGGATTAGCCTAGTGAACCGCGGCGCCGGCAGGAAATTCTTTTTTTTTTTTAAAGATTTATTTATTTATTTGAAAGTCAGAGTTACACAGAACAGAGAGAGAGAGAGAGTCTTCCATCTGCTGGTTCACTCCTCAATTGGCCACAATGGCTGGAGCTACACTGATCCGAAGCCAGGAGCTTCTTCTGGGTCTCAAACACGGGTGCAAGGGCCAAAGGACTTGGGCCATCTTCTACTGCTTGCCCAGGCCACAGCATAGAGCTGGATGGGAAGTGGAGCAGCCGGGTCTTGAACTGGCACCCATGTGGGATGCTGGTGCTTCAGGCCAGTGCGTTAACCTGCTGCGCCATAGTGCCGGCCCCAGAAATTTCAGATTTCAACAAGAGACCCATTTTCTTGAATAACCACGTTGATGGGAAAGTGAGCATCCACAGACCTCATCTTGTAATTGAAGCCCAGTGTAACCCCCTTAATCATATTCTGTACATGACTGCAGGTGGTGTGAACAGTTGCCATCTCCTTTCAGTTTCCCCACCATTTGTCAACTGGAGCCTCTTTTTCTTTCCAAGGAGGCTGATGTGTTCTACACTGATGTGACTGAAGGCCCTTCACAGGGTATCTCTGGGCCCCTTCACAATAACTATGCGCCCCTTTGATGTTGACATTTTCTGGAATGTCAACAGTCTGATTGCTGAGAATGGTCTTCATTCTTGCAGTAGATGCAGCAAAGAGAACTCATATTATTTTTTTAAAGATTTATTTACTTATTTGAAAGGCAGAGTTAAAGGCAGGGGCAGAAAGAGGAGGTCTTCCATCTGCTGGCTCATTCCCCAACTGGCCTCAAGGGCTAGAGCTGGGCCAATCCGAAGCCTGGAGCTTCTTCCGGGTCTGCCACGCTGATACAGGGCCCCTGGGACTTGGGCCATCTTCTGCTGCTTTCTCAGGCCATAGCAGAGAGCTGAGTCAAAAGTGGTGCAGCGGGACTTGGACCAGCACCCATAAGGGATGCCAGCAGTGCAGGCAGCAGCTTTACCTGCTATGCCACAGTGCTGGCCCCCATTGTCATATTTTGAAGTCAATACTTTGCAGACTTAAACTCTAAGGTTGTGCTGCATGTTTTGAAATAAATTTTTTTAAAGAGATTTGCTTCTATTCTGAGACCAGCTTCATCAGAATTAATGATCCATGCAGTAAGCTTTTGCATCAGTTTGAGGAGGTGAGTGGAGATTCTGATTCAGACAGACCCAGAAGCCTGATCAGGTTTTGTCTGTGGATGAGCTTAGGGATGGGATGCCTTTGTAGCTTTTTGTTTGAATTCTAAGCTTGCTTACTTTTGATAGCTTTAAAATATTGACTTGCTTGAGAAAAATCACCTGTGTACTATTTATTGCAGAATAATAGTTGAGTGCTAGAACCTTTCTCCCCCCTCTCCTTTATTTTGAAGATAGAAATAATGCTGATTATAATTCTTAGCCAAGAACTGACAAACTTCAGAAGGTAATTTTGGCTAACTTTTCTCCTTACAGGCTCGAGTGACTAGGGGCTGTACCATTATTAAGCCTTTCAACCTGTCCCAAGGAAAGAAAAGAACATTTGATGAAGCGGCTTCTACATATGTGCCTCTTGCACAGCAGGTGGAAGCCTTCCATAAACGAACCCCTAACAGATACCATTTGAGGAGCAAGAAAGAGGATATTAGTAAGTTTCCTATCAGTATTATACCTAGCTGGCGCATACCCCCGAGTTCTTAGCAGAGGCAGAGTGAAAGGAGGATGAAAGAGTGAGAGGAGTGGCTGTAACTGCTGATGGGTATGTAGATTTGGTGGTTAACCGATGAGGGGATTCTATAAGAGAGAAGATAAGGAAGTCTGAGGAACATAGGTGGTGTAAAATAGTTGTTGAGAGTATAGGGCTGGTATTCTGGATAAAGCAGAATCTAATTGTTTTGCCTATAAATTTTTACTCTTGCAAGGTATTTTTTTTTCTTTTGTTAAAAGATTTATTTACTTGAAAGGCAGAGTTACAGAGAGGCAGAGGGAGAGAGAGAGGTCTTTTCATTCACTGACTGGTTCACTCCCCAAATGGCTAACAACAGCCAGAGATGGGCTAATCTGAAGCCAGGAGCTTGGAGCTAGCTTCTTCAGTTCTCCCACCTGGGTGCAGAAACCCAAGGACTTGGGCCATCTTCTACTGCTTTCCCAGGCCATAGCAGAGATCTGGATGGGAAGTGGAGCAGCCAGGTCTCGAAACGGCACCCATATGGGATGCTGGCGCTTCAGGCCAGGGCCTTAACCCACTGTGCCACAGCGCCAGCCCCCATGTAACTCTATCTTTCAAATAAAATAAATCTTTAAAAAAACCAAAACAAAACAAATTATATATGACTCTTAGTGTGATATCCCTGCTTTTAGAATTCCAGTTCCATTGAAGCATGACTTACTTTTAAATAGATTTGGTTCTGATTTTCTGTAATAAGATCTAAATTGGAGGATTCATTCAATATCATCTTGAAAATTGATAAAATTATCCCTCTCCAGAAAAATTCATGATTTTTTTAAAGATTTTTTTTTTTTAATTTGAAACACAATGTTACAGAAAAAGACACAGAGGGAGAAAGGTCTTCTATCTACTAGTTTACTTCCCAAATGGCTGCAATGGCCGGAGCTGAGCTAATCTGAAACCAGGAGCCAGGAGCTTCTTCTATGTCTCCCACGTGGGTGTAGGGGCCCAAGCACTTGGGCAATTCTCTGCTGCTATCCCAGAAACATTAGTAGGAAGCTGGATCAGAAGTGGAGCAGCTGGAACTCAAACCGGCACCCGTATGGGATGCTGGCATTGCAGGTCAGGGATTTAACCCACTGTGCCACAGTACTGGCCCCAATTCCTGATTTCTATAAGAGGTAGTGATGGTCTTAATATTGATACTTTTCCCATTTGACTTCCTATGAAATGATGCTGCTTTGTTATAGACTGAGAGTTACTACTGTGTCTTTAGAAAGGCCCTAGATTTAAAGCTGAATAAACAAAAATTTTATTTGTCAATAACAAAATAGTTGCATTGTCAATAGAAAGTACAGACCTGTTCAGTGATAAGGAACCCATCAGACATGACTGGACTCTAAATTCAGGAGATGACAATAGAATATACCCAAAAGCTACCTTGGTCATACTCTTCAATAGCAATAGGAAATGGACTGAACTTTGGTGAGTAAGCTCAGTGTGTAGGGCCAGCTATGTTGTGGTTAGTTCATCCATCTCTGGGCTACCTCTTTGAGGCAGCACTTAGAGGTTAAGTAGATCTTGAGGATATAGATAAATGTTTGTGATCTTGGTTTACAGACCTGTTACCCTCTAAATCTTCTGTGACCAAGCTATCCAGAGACCCACAGACTCCTGTACTACAAACCAAACATCGAGCAAGGCCTGTGACCTACAAAAGTGCAGCAGACCAGGAGGCTGAGGAGCTTGAGAAACTACAACAGTAAGTTCCATTGGTAGTGTCTGAGAGAGAGCTCCCAGAGTTTGGCTACTTTCTTTTCAGTTTTAAAGGGACAACAACTGCTATCCTTTCTTTCCTCCTTTTTTTTTTTTTTTTTAAATATTTTTCATTTATTTATTTAATTTGAAATTCAGAGTTACAGAGAGGGAGAAATACATGGAGAGCATTATCTTCCATTCTCTGGTTCACTACCCAGATAGCTGCAACAGCCAGTGCTGGGCCAGGCTGAAGCCAGGGGCCAGGAGTTTCTTCCAGGTTTTTCACATGGGTGACAGGGGCCCAGATACTTGGGCCATCATTTGCTGCTTTTCCAGGCCATTCACAGGGAGCTGGATTTAAAGTGGAATAGCTGAGACACTAACTGGCCTCCATATAGGATGCTGGTGACACACACAGTGGCTTTACCCACTGTGTCACAACACTGGCCCCTTTCTGAGAAAATTTATGGCATTTGAGTTGTAGGCTCTGCAGGTTTGTGCCCCTGCCTCTGTAATTAAAGAATTGGAAGTGCTTTATGTCCTTTATAAATTAAAAAAAATAATGCAGAGATTGGAATGGGAGAATTTAACAATTCCAGTTAAGGAATGTCTTCTGAGGTTAGTTTAGAAAGGTCTTTATGCCTACATAAGGGATTGTTAGAGCTATCATCAGTGGAGGAAACTGGAACTTAATGTGGTTAGAATGAGAGTTCATCTCTTACCCTTCCATTCTCTGTTGTGCTACTTTTGAGGACTTCATCTGTGAAAAAAGCTCTAAGTTTTAGAGTGATGGGTACATTAGGACTGATTTATTCTTTGCTCCAGAGGTAAAGATAATGGCTGTGGAGAAAGTTGAAATTTATCTCTGAATATGGATAGTCTTATTTTTTTGTGTTTGGCCAAGTAAAAAGGCCATTTTTGCTGTTTGTGTAATTTTTATATTATTTAAAAGGTTTTTTATGGCTGTCATTTAACTCCCACCTTACAGGTACAAATTCAAAGCTCGGGAACTTGATCCCAGAATTCTTGAAGGTGGCCCCATCTTGCCCAAGAAACCACCTGTGAAACCATCCACTCAGCCTATTGGCTTTGATTTGGAAATTGAGAAAAGAATCCAGGAGCGAGAATCAAGGAAGAAATTAGAGGATGAACACTTTGAATTTCATTCCAGACCTTGCCCAACTAAGATATTGGAAGATGTTGTGGTAAGAAAGAATAGTTAAGGCTCTGGGGGCTAGCAAAAGTGTCTTGTCAGTGACCAAATATCAACCTTTTTGTAAATGTTTTGAGTGGATATTATGAACAGGGCATCACATTATGAACTATATGTAGGTATAAAGAGACATAACAGAAATGGATTTTGGTCCGAGGCAACATGCAGTGTAATAAGGGCAATAACATGTATAAATAATATAAAATGGACAGAAGTGCTATAGGAATTCAGAGGAGAAGGAGAATTACTTTTTCCAGATAGGAGGCTTAGGAAGTGCTTTGTGGAGGATACAGCATTTGACTTAAGCCTTAATGTTGTATAGTAGTAGTTGTCATCATTGTGTCATTGTAACTGGTACTTGTACTGTATATACCAGGCACTGCTCTGTGCCTTGTTCATGTGCAGTTGTAGCTCTATATCTGGGGGGGATTTGTTCCAGAACCACCATGGATATCAAACTCAAGTCTCTTAGGAAATGCTATAATAATTGCATATAAACTATACATATCTTCCTTAATACTTTAAATCATCCCTAGATTATTTGTAATATCTTGTACAGTGAAATTCTATGTAAATAGTTGTGCTGTATAACAGGTATTCCCTTGTTTAGGGAATAATGACAAGAAAAAAGTCTGCGTGTTCAGTACAGATAAGAGTTTTTCCCCCACAAATATTTACCATGTGCAGTTGGTTGAATCCACTGTTACAAAATTCATGGATACAAGGGGCCAACTGTGATAACTTTTTTTTTTTTTAAGATTTATTTACTTATTTGAAAGGCAGAGTTACACAGAGAGAGGAGGAGAAGCAGAAAGAAAGGGAGAGTGATCTTCCATCTGCAGGTGCACTCCCCAGAAGGTCACAGTGGCTGGAGCTGGTCTCCCATGTGGGTGCAGGGGCCCAAGTCCTTGGGCCATCTTCTACTGCTTTTCTAGGCCATAGCAGAGAGCTGGATCGGAAGTGGAGCAGCCAGGTCTCAAACCAACGCACATAAAGGATGCCGGCACTTCAGGTGGCGGCTTTACCCGCTTCGCCACAACGCCGACCCCATTGATAACTATTAACTCATTATTTTTGACAACAACCTCTTTTAAGTGGGTTACTTTAGTTATCCTCATTTCAGATGAGGCACAGTCAAGTTACATAGCTTTCCTAGGGCACGCAGCTAGTTTATGGTGGAGCTAGGATAGAGTCTGTGATCCTGGCACTCATTATGTACCTTTCCAGTACATGATAGAGTTTGGATATGCAGAACTTCAAATGAAATGAACTTGCAAAGTATTTCATTCAGTGGAAGTAACATTAATGTGAAAAGAAGACTGAAGGTAGCAAATGCAGAGCACGAATTAGGAGCTCTGAGTGAAGAAAAGTTTTTGAAGAGCAGTTAGAAACTAGAGAAATGGAATCAGTTTGGTAGACTCACAACCACAGTTTTAATGCAATCGGAGAGAAAAATGCTATAGTTAAAGAATAAGAAGAAGTGATAGTGGACAGGGTTGTGGCATAGTGTGTTAAAATTAATTTTAGGGGAGGGTATTGCGTGCATTTGGGGAGTGAACCGGCTGATCCAAGATCTTTTATCTGTCTCTCTGCCTTTTGAATAAAGTGAGAATAAGTAAAAATGCTTAAAAATGTGAAACAATCAAAAAAGGAGTTCTTCTACCATTAACCTAGATAAAAGTCAATCCAAATTGGCAGGGAAAGGAGGACGTCCCCCCTTCTGCACAGAACTATGTCTAAAAAATTATGCAGGTGCTTAACTCTGTCACTTATTGTTATTTTTAAAAGGTTTATTTATTTGGAAAGGCAGAGTTATATATACAGAAAGATCTTCAACTGCTATTTAACTCTCTGAATGGCCGCAGTGCCATGGCTGGGCCAGGCTGAAGCCAGGAGGCACGTGCTTCATCCTGGTTACCCACCTGGGTGGCAGGGGCCAAGCACATGGGCCATTTTCTACTGCTTTCCCAGGCACATTAGCAGGAGGTTGGATCAGAAGTGGAGCAGACTGGACATGGACCAGCACCCATGTGGGGTGCCAGTATTGCAAGTGGTGGCTTAACCCACTGTGCCACGTGCTGGTCCTGTGGTTTTGCTTCTGATTCAGCTTCTTGCTAACGTATACTCTAGAAGGAACAGTGATGACTCAAGTACTTGAGTCCCTGCCACCCACTGGAAGACCCAGATTGAGTTTTTCTCCTGGCTTCTACCTGGAGTCTGGCTGTTAAAGGCATTCGGGGAATAAACCAGTGCAAGGAAGATATGTTTGTCTCTTAAAATTGAAAAAAAAAAATTCTTTAAAAAAAAGTTGGTGTCAGGAGAAAATAGATCTTTTTAACTTCTAGTCTTGGACTCTTAACAGCAGAACTGAAGAGCTTGCCTCCCAGAGCCTGGTACAACACATCTGTCTGCCACTGTTGTTTCCCCAACTGTGTCGCCTAGTGCTGAAGCTTCATTTCCATGTGTCTTGATGGTTCATCTTGTGTTCTCCTGCTTGTGGTTGATAGGTGGCAATGAAACAACAGGGTTGATGAGAGATGGGCTCGGGCAGCAGTGGGCCATGAGGCAGATATAAAAAAGGTCTCGTGGGGCAGAGGTGGAGTGATGAAAGCCTTGAGCATGAGGGTGTGAAATGTGAACTTGTTGCCGACATCTAATGGGGAGCTGGGGCACCAAGGAGGTAGATGTAGTGAGGCCAGTGAGTAATTTTAGCTTAGATATTTTAGGGATGACTTGGGGGAGACCAGCAGGCTATTTTTTTGCATACTCCCTGAGATAAATTGCTTCACTGTAATGACCTGTGAAGCCTTGGAGCCTATTCCAGAGCACTTGGGGACATACGCTGCTTTAGAAGAAACACTTACCCAACGTCCCTAATCCCTTTTCTGGATGCTTTTTCTAAATGCTTCATCTGTCCACCTGCATTGCACATTTCCAGCCATATATCGCCTCTCCAGAGATACTTTCCCCAAACTTGCTGCTGAGGAAGCTGCCTCCCAGCAGCTGTTAGCTCCACATTCTGCTGGATTTCTTCGGGGCAATTGTGAAAATTAGGAAACATTTGTTATTTTGTCATTGTCTCTCCCACCAAATATGAGCTCTCTGTGAGCAGGAACCTCATATATTTTTGTAGTTCACTCTGCTTGTATTCCCAGCACTTAGCATGGTGACTATAACACAGGCACACTGAGATTGGATAACTGAGTGATTGATGGTATAGGCTGGAAAGTACCAGCTTATATTTCTAGCCTGTGTTAGACACTGGAAATTCAAAAATGGAATAAGATATGACCCTTGTCCTTCAGCCTTTCCCAGTCTGGAAGAGTATATCAGCATATCAACATATTTTCACTCTGGGTTTTTTTGTTAGGTGCTGTGGAAAAGGCACAGAGATACAAATAGCAATATCCCAGTCCTCGGGGAGCTTATAATTTATTTTTTAGTTTTACTTTTCTTCAGTTTTTATTTATTTGAAAGGTGGAGTGTTAGAGAAAGAATGAAAGAGGGAGAGATTTTTCCACCTGCTGGTTCACTTCCCAAATCCACAACAGTTGAGAATGAGCCAAACCCGAAGCTAGAAATCAAGAACTCCTATGGGTCATCCATGTTGGTGGCAGGGACCCAAGTGCTTGGCCCAACATCTACTGCCCTCAGGGTGAGCATTCTCAGGAAACTGGATCTGAAGCAGAGGAGCTGGTATTCCAGCCAGCCATTCTGGTAAGGGATGTGGGCATTCCAAGCACTTAACCTGCTGTGCCATATTGCCCACTCTGTGGCAGGTTACAATAACAAAAGTACTTTTTAAAAACTTAAAATAACAAAATAAGAAGCCATTTCTGGTTTTGGAAACTTAATTTCTTTATTTTATTTTTTTTCAAATTTATTTGACAGGTAGAGTTATAGACAGAGAGATAGGTCTTCCCTCCATTGGTTCACCCCCGCAAATGGCCGCTATGGCCGGCGCTGCGCCGATCAGGAGCCAGGAGCCTACTCCGGGTCTCCCATGCGGGTGCAGGGCCCAAGCACCTGGGCCATCCTCCACTGCCTTCCCAGGCCACAGCAGAGAGCTGGACTGGAAGAGGGGCAACCGGGCCTAGAACCCAGCGCCCATATGGGATGATAGTGCTGCAGGCGGAGGATTAACCAAGTGAGCCACGGCGCCAGCCCTTTTTATTTTGTTTCAAGCTGAGCCCCTAGTTGGCCCTCATTGTGGTGAAGACGGAGTATAGGTCATTAGTTGCTACAAAGATGATTTTCATAAATCATCTTTTTTTCTCCCTCAACTAATTATGAGGATTGACCTCATTAATATTTTCTTCATGGCTTACTTACAGATTTCCACTGTTCACAATGCACATTTTTCTGCAGAGTATATGTAGAGAAAGAGGGAAAATAGGAAAAGAGGGATTATTTTAGAACCAACTAAATCTTCAGATATGTACTTCAGTTAGTTTATGAAAAACCCCCAAGGCCTAGAAGGCTATCTGATAAGCCCAGTGATACAGAGCTGGCTAGAGCAGGTCCTTGATTCCTTGCTTACTGTTCTTCCTACTTCCACACTCAAGAAGTGGTGCATTTATCCTGTCTATTTGTACAGGATATTTGTGGGACAACAAATTTTTATTTTTTCCATGGTATGCATCATTTGGAAACCCATTTTTTTGTTTTAATTAATTAATTAATTTTTGAAAAGCAGTGATACAAAGAGAGAGAAGTAGAGAGAGATCTTCCATCTGCTGTTATTCCTCAAATGGCCACAATGGCTGGAGCTGGGCCAGGCCGAAGCCTGGAGACAGGAGCATCTTCTGGGTCTCCTGTGTAGGTGGCAGAGGCCCAAGGACTTGGGCCACCTTCAGCTGCTTTCCTCCGCACATTAGCCTGGAGCTGGATTAGAAGTGGAGCAGCTGGTACTCAAACCTATATGGGATGTGGGCACTGCAGGTGGAGGTTTAACCTTTATGCCACAGCACCGGCCCTGGAAACCCATTTCTCAGACTAATTAGTCACTCTGATTATAAAGTCAGTAATATTGGATTTCACTGTGCTAGTGATTATTCCCTTCACAGTGGTCACCAATTTTGATGATTGTGATATTATACAAAGCATTTTGGAAAAAGCACTTGTCATGAATCCTGACTCAGTCTTTTGGATCTAAACCTTTAACAGTGGACAATCTTCATATTTTAAAAATTTGCTTTTAGGTGCCGGTGCTGTGGCATAGTAGGTAAGGCTGCTGTCTGCAGTGTGAGCATCCCATGTCGGCGCCACTTTGAGTCCCTGCTGCTCCACTTCCAATCCAGCTCTCTGCTGTGGCCTGGGAAAGCAGTGGAGGATGGCCCAAGTCCTTGGGCTCTTGCACCTGCGTGGGAGACCCAGAAGCTACTGGCTCTGGCTTCGGATCAGCACAGCTCCGGCCATTGCGGCCAGTTGGGGAGTGAGCTAGCAGATGGAAGACTTCTCTCTCTCTCTCTTCTTCTTCGAGGTTTCTTTCTTTCTTTCTTTCTGTCTTTCTTTCTGTCTTTCTTTCTGTCTTTCTTTCTGTCTTTCTGTCGTTCTGTCTTTCTGTCTTTCTGTCTTTCTGTCGTTCTGTCTTTCTTGTCTTTCTTGTCTTTCTTGTCTTTCTTGTCTTTTTTACAGGCAGAGTTAGACAGAGAAAGATCTTCCTTTTTCTGTTGGTTCACCCCCTAAGTGGCTGTTGCAGCTGGCGTGTTGCGCCAATCCGAAGCCAGGAGCCAGGTGCTTCCTCCTGGTCTCCCATGCGGGTGCAGGGCCCAAGGACCTGGGCCGTCCTCCACTGCACTCCCGGGCCACAGCAGAGAGCTGGCCTGGAAGAGGGGTAACCGGGACTAGAACCTGGAGTGCTGGCACCACAGGTAGAGGATTAGCCTAGTGAGCTGTGGCGCCGGCCCTTCTTCTTCTTCTTCTTTGAAGATTTATTTTATTTATTTGAAAGACAGAGTTTGAGAGAGAGGTAGAGACAGAGAGAGAGGTCTTCCATCCGCTGGTTCACTCCCCAGATGGCCTCAACAGCCGGAGCTGTGCCGATCTGAAGCCAGGAGCCAGGAACTTCTTCTGGGTCTCCCATGTGGGTGCAGGGTCCCAAGGACTTGAGCCATCTTCTACTGATTTCCCAGGCCACAACAGAGAGCTGGATTGGAGGAGGAGCAGCCGGGACTTGAACTGGTGACCACATGGGATGCCGGTGCTTCAGGCCAGGGCTTTAAACCACTGCGCCACAGCACCGGCCTCTCTCTGTTTCTGCCTCTCTTTCTCTCTCTGTGTAACTCTGAGTTTCAAATAAATAAGTCTTTAAAAAAATTTGCTTTTAGAAGTTAGTAAAAAATTATTTGGAATTAAAACTTTCTCTTTAAAAAAAATTTTATTTATTTATTTGAAAGGCAGAGTTACAGAGAGGCAGGTCTTCCATCTGCTGATTCACTTCCCACATGGCTGCAATGGCTGGAAATTCAGCCAAAACGAAGCTAGGAGCTTCTTCTGGGTCACCCATGCAGGTGCAAGGACCGGGGTACTTGAGCGATCTTTCTCTGCTTTCCCTAGGAGCATTAGCTAGGAACTGGATCAGAAATGGAATAACCGGGGTAGGGGTGGGACAGCGTCGTGGCACACTAAGTTAATCCTCCACCTGTGGTGCCAGCATCCCATATGGGTACTAGTTCTAGTCCCTGTTGCTCCTCTTCCAGTCCTGCTCTTTGCTGTGGCCTGGGATAGCAGTGGAGGATGGCCCAGGTGCTTGGGCCCCTGCACCCACATGGCAGACCTGGAGGAGGCTCCTGGCTCCTGGCTTCAGATCGGTGCAGTTCCGGCCATTGCGGCCATTTGGGGGGTGAACTAACAGAAGGAAGACCTATCTCTCTGTCTCTCTCTCTCTCTGTAACTCTACTTGTAACTGTCTGTAACTCTACCTGTCAAATAAATAAAAATCTTTAAAAAAAAGAAATGGAACAACCGGTATTTGAACTGGTGCTCACATTGGATGCCAGCACTACGGGTGGAGGCTTTATCCAATATGCGACAGCGCCAGCGCTCTGGAATTAAAACTTCTGAGTGGTCCAAGATAACAAGGGTGGAAAGTTTTGTTAAAGATTGAATAACACCTTGCATGGTCCAAAAAGTGGCTTTGAAAGCCATTCCAAGAAAAGACATTCCAGACATGGTTTGAGCAGTTGCAGCATTGTTGGGATTAAGAAGATGTCTCTCAAGATATCTTCTTAGAGTTCCATGATATAAATTCTGTTAGTCAAGTGTGCATTCATTCTTAATGCGTTCATTCAACATTTACTGCATGCCTTATACTACACAAGGTCTATGTTAAGTGCTAGTGATTGATGGAATGTGAAGTACTCATAGACTAATAGAGGTAAACATCTAAATAAAATAAGTATAGTGAAGTTTTACATGTATAGTCAGCTCTCCATATCTTTAGATTCTACATCTATGGATTCAACCAACTATGAGGTATATTAAAAATATTTGAAAAAATTTTTGTCTTTATTGTAAAAAATATAGATTTTTCTTGTCTTTATTCCCTAAACAAAACAGTAAAACCACTAGTTATGTAGCATTTGCTTCATATTAGTATAAATAACCTAGAAATGATTTAAAGTATATGGGAAGGTATGCATCGGTTATGTGAATACAACAGATGCATACCTTCCCATATACTTTAAATCATTTTATTTGGGGCTGGCGCCATGGCTCACTTGGCTAATCCTCCACCTGCAGTCCCGGCATCCCATATGGGTGCCGGTTCTAGTCCCAGTTGCTCTTCCAGTCCAGCTCTCTGCTGTGGCCCAGGAGGGCAGTAGAGGATGGCCCAGGTGCTTGGGCCCCTGTACCCTCATGGGGAGACCAGGAAGAAGCATCTGGCTCCTGGCTTCAGATTGGTGCAGCGCTGGCCGTAGTGGCCATTTGGGGGGTGAACCAACGTAGGAAGACCTATCTCTCTCTCTCTCTCATTGTCTATAACTCTACCTGTCAAATAAAAAAAAATGTTTATTATCTTAAAACAAAACTAAATGGAGCTGTGGCATAGTGGGTAAAGCTGCTGCCTGCAGTGCCAGCAACCCATATGGTCGTCGTTTCTAGTCCTGGTTGCTCCACATCTGATCCAGCTCTCTGCTATGGCCTGGGAAAACAGTAGAAGATGGCCCAAGACCTTGGGCCCCTGCCCTTCAGTGGGAAACCTGGAAGAAGCTCCTAGCTCTTGGCTTCGAATTAGCCCAGCTCCAGCTATTGTGGCCATTTGGGTAGTGAACCAGCAAATGGAAGATTTTTCTTTCTCTCTTTCTGCCTCTCTATAACACTGCCTTTTTTCTTTGAAAAAAGATTTATAAGGCCGGTGCCGCGGCCAATAGGCGAATCCTCCACCTAGCGGCGCCGGCACACGGGGTTCTAGTCCCGGTCGGGGCGCCGGATTCTTTCCCGGTTGCCCCTCTTCCTGTCCAGCTCTCTGCTGTGGCCCAGGAGTGCAGTGGAGGATGGCCCAAGTGCTTGGGCCCTGCACCCACATGGGAGACCAGGAGAAGCACCTGGCTCCTGGTTTTGGATCAGCGCGGTGCACCGGCCGCAGTGCGCCAGCCGTGGCGGCCATTGGAGGGTGAACCAATGGCAAAAAGGAACACCTTTCTCTCTGTTTCTCTCTCTCACTATCCACTCTGCCTGTCAAAAAAATTTTTTTGTAAATAAATCTGTAAGAAATATTATTTATTTGTTTGAAAGAGTTACAGAGGAGACATCTTCCATCTGCTGGTTCAGTCTCCAAATTGCTGCAATGGCCAAGCTGGGCCAGCTGAAGCCAGGAGCCAGTTGCTTCATCTGGGTCTCCCATGTGGGTGCAGGGGCCTTTAGCCATCTTCTGCATTAGCAGGGAGCTGGATCAGAGTAAAGCAGTCAGGACTCAAATCTGGCACCCTTGTGGGATGCCAGTGTCTCAGGCAGCAGCTTCAATCTGCTATGTCAGCGCCAGCCCACATTCGTTTGCTTTCTGTTGTAGGCGTTTTTCCTAACTACTAAAAAGATTTTTGGTGAATTATATTTTAACTGATTTTGTACTATCTATACCTTAGTTATTTGCTGCATGCAGGATTTGTTTTGTCCTAATCAGGAAACAACATACTACAGTGTAGCTTCTTTCTGATTCCTGATACATGAACTTCTCTTTAAGGAAAGGGATTTAATATTTCACACAACCTAGCAGATTTTGTTCTAGGATGTCTAATTGAGTTGCTTCCTTCTCCTAGGGTGTTCCTGAAAAGAAGGTACTTCCAATCACTGTCCCCAGGTCTCCAGCCTTCGCACTTAAAAACAGAATCCGAATGCCTACTAAAGAAGATGAGGTGATTTCCTGGGAGTTGGGGTTTCTTTTTGCTTCTGCATAGTCCGTCTAAACCTTACTATTTCTTAAACTGAATGGTGTGCAGAGACAACCACTCCTATTTGTAGTTTGCAAAGCAGTTGATAAGGTTATGACTCTTCTGGCTGTCTTTAGTAACTGGGTACAATTTGTGGAATTGGAAGTTAAGCATTGGAGGTTTGTCTATGTCTACAGCATTGAAAATCAGCCTATCTTTGTAACATGCATCAAAAGTTTCCAGATCCTGCACTTTATTTTGCTGTATTTTGTTGTTATTGTCACTATTTGAAAAGGATTTTAAAAATTCATGCTATTATTATTAACAGTTACATTTGTTTTTTCCGAACTCCATTAACCGAAGGAGGTTACTTGTGTGTGATGGTTCGTAGGATTGTAGTACATAAACTGTCATTGATCAGGCTAGTTTCTTGTTACATCCCCCATTTTATCTATAAATATCCAGAGTTAGGGTAATTTTATAGCAGATCTCAAGCATAAGCCTTTTTATAGTTTTCTTTGAAACTAAAATACACAGTAATCTTATGTTACCAGCTTCAACCCAAATAACTGTCTTGGTCCTATTCTGGGGTTGGCAATCATTAGCCCCTAGTCACATGTTTCAGCAGAGTCTGAGACTGGGTCAAAGAAGAGGATGGAGTCCATGCTTGGTCAGTATCTTTGTTCTGATCTTCATTTTATCCATGCTCTTGGATCTCCTTTAGTTCTTAAAACATTCCAGTGAAAAGCTTTGGATCTTTTAAGTCACTATGTTAGTCCTTTACCAGATGCTCTCACATTACTCTTACCCTGTGAGATAGTGGGTCACTTAGCTGTTATCTCTCTTTGATAGAAGAGGAAGCTAAGACACCTAAGAGATTGAATGACTTGCCTTAATTAATGACTTACACAATGTTTCCTTACTCCACATTATGAGGAGGTGGGATAGAGTGAGGAGTTTTGTTTCTAAAATGTGCTGTTTCTCAGGAAGAAGATGAACCAGTGTTGATAAAAGCTCAACCTGTGCCACATTATGGAGTGCCTTTTAAGCCCCAAATCCCAGAGGCAAGAACTGTGGAAGTATGCCCTTTCTCCTTCGACTCTCGGGACAAAGAACGTCAGTTACAGAAGGAGAAGAAAATAAAAGAGCTGCAGAAAGGAGAAGTAGGTGTTTTCATTTCTGCAAGCAGCAGCATGTTCTTGGGTCCTTCAGAGATAACCTTTTGTGTAGCACTTCTAGCATAAAATCCCTGTCTGCCTTTGATTCCTCAAAGAACTCCATGAAATATAGATAGGGCAAGTAATTTAAGTCATCCTTTCGGCACGGATAGGTTAAGTGACTTACCCAAATCACCCTGCCAGTTATTGACAACATTGGAAGGAAAACTAGATTTCCTTTTGAGCCTGTTACTCTTTTCTGCTATACCATGCTGCTTTGAAAACTGGCTGTCCCTATTTTTCAGTTTCCTCCAAACATTCTGGAGCAGGTGTTGATTTCAGGCTAGTGAGTTCTTTGTTTTAAATTTCATGTTTTCTTTCCCATCAGGTGCCCAAGTTCAAGGCACTTCCCTTACCTCATTTTGACACCATTAACCTACCAGAAAAGAAGGTAAAGAATGTGACGCAGATTGAGCCTTTCTGCTTGGAGACTGACAGAAGAGGTGCTCTGAAGGCACAGACTTGGAAGCATCAGGTGGGGATGAGAGAGAAGTTATTAGTTGTTTGGTTGGTTAGATAAGCAGATCCTGAAATCATCTTAGGTGATACACTTGGTTATTCCTGAGGCTCTCCCTCTAAATCAGAGATCAGCACATTTTTTTCTTAAAACATTAGGTAGTAAATATTTTGGTCTTTATAGTTTACATATGGTCTCTGTCACATATGGAATGGGGGTGTGTGTGTGTGTGTGTGTTTTCAACCCTTGGAAAATGTAAAAAGCTTTTTTAGCTCAAGGACTATACAGAAGCCGGTTGAAAACTGAATCTTGCCTACAAGTTGAAGTTTGGTGACCCCTACTTTTTTTTTTTTTTTTGACAGGCAGAGTGGACAGTGAGAGAGAGAGAGAGAAAGGTCTTTCTTTACCGTTGGTTCACCCTTCAATGGCCGCTGTGGCCAGCACACCGCACTGATCTGAAACCAGGAGCCAGGTGCTTCTCTGGTCTCCCATGCGGGTGCAGGGCCCAAGGACTTGGGCCATCCTCCACTGCACTCCCGGGCCACAGCAGAGAGCTAGCTTGGAAGAGGGGCAACTGGGACAGAATCCAGCACCGCAGGTGGAGGATTAGCCTATTGAGCCGTGGTGCCGGCTGACCCATACTCACTTAGGGAAAGTGAGAACTAACAGGCTTTGAATCAAGAATCTTTTGAAAACCTCATCTGTTCTATTAAACTCATTCATTAAGTGTTTTCCTTTTTCTGTTGTTTTGGTAACAATATGGAAGAATAGATAGTCTTAATATGGTATATTGTTGGGCTGGCGCCATGGCTCACTTGGTTAATCTTCCACCTGCAGTGCCGGCATCCCATATGGGCGCTGGGTTCTAGTCCCGGTTGCTCCTCTTCCAGTCCAGCTCTCCACTGTGGCCCAGGAAAGCAGTGGAGGATGGCCCAAGTCCCTAGGCACCTGCACCCTCATGGGAAACCAGGAAGAAGCACCTGGCTCCTGGCTTCAGATTGGCGTAGCTCCAGCCATAGCAGCCATCTGGGTGTGAACCAACGGAAGAAAGACCTTTCTCTCTGTCTCTCTCTCTCTCTAACTCTATCTGTCAAATAAAAAAAAAAGTTAAAAAAAATGGCATATTTTTTCTGCATGGTGTGTACTATACTTCTGTATAGCAAGTATATTGTGAGTTTTAGATAACAGGTGATTAGAAACAACTAATTGCTTATTGGCTGATTTAATAGAATCTAATTTTACCCAGTTAGAAGAATTTCTTCTGAATCCTTAATTTATCAGTATTTTAATGTCATTACCTCTCCTGGATTGTGTCCAAAAATAGCTCTGATCTAATCCTTGTTTGTGGAGTTTGCCACTCTTGAAGCCCAAAACATGCTATTACTTCCATTATTCAATACAGGTCTTGTATTGGCATTGTTCTTTAGGAAACCTGAGGACAGTTGCAGAAGTAATAATGAAGTCATAATGTTCTCAGGAACATCTATGTGGGAAAGTTTGGTAGTACAAAAACCATATCTCTTTAAGATCTTTTTTAGGTACATACAAAGGTAGAATAAATAGTATAATGAACTTCCATGAACCTGTCACCTTGTTATATAATAATAAAAACATGAAAACTCATTTCATGTATACTTCTGTGTACTTATCTATGGATTCATGTATTTACACAAGATTATTTTGAAATGAAATCTAGATAGCATCTCTTTATCCTTTATCCACTTCTGTATGTATGCTTAAAATATAAGGACTTCTGAAAATAAGCGCAATAATATCAGAATGATTAACAATAATTCCATTATGGTGACAAGTAGCCAACATTAAACTGTGCCCAAATTTCTCATAACTTTTTTTATAACAGTTTCATTGTTCAAATCAAGATCCAAATAAGGTCCATCTGTGGGCTCATCTCTTTGTATTTTGTCTTTTGAAATAAATTGTGTTGATTGTCATATAGATTCCCACAATCTGGGTTATGCTGATTGTATTGCCTTCGTGTTTGACACATTCCTCCAAGCTTGATTAGATTCTAGTGGCCGGGTAGTTGGAAAGAGACTACTTCATGGGTGATATTGTGTGGTTCCTAATGATTCCCATTTAGAGGCATATGATGTTGCTTATTTTTACTGTAATAAGATAAGCATTGAATGCATCTTAAAAGAGGGGTGACATTTTGCATAGCATTTGGTTTAGCAGTTAAGATTCCACTTAGGTTGTCTGCATCCCTTATTATAGTGCTTGGGTTCCAGTCCTGGCTCCACTTACACTTCCAGCTTCCTGCTGGGGCACATCCCGAGAGGCAGCAGTACTTGGGTCCCTGGTATCCAAATAGGAGACCTTGATTGAGTTCCTCCCTGATTTTGACCTGGCCCAGCCCTGTTGTTGTAAGTATTTGGCAAGTGAAATAACAGATGGAAGATCTGTCTGCCTTTCTGTCTCTGCCTCTCAAATAAGTAAAAAATAAACTTAAAGATTTATTTATTTGAAAGAGTTACAGAGAGAGAAGGAGAGACAGAGAGATCTTTCATCCATTGATTTACTTCCCAAATGGCCTCAATGGCCGGGCTTGGGCCAGGCTGAAGCCACGAGCTGGGAGCTTCATGTGGGTCTCCCATGTGACTGTGGGGCCCAAGTACTTGGGGCCATATTCTGTTGCTTTCCCAGGCACATTAGCAGGGAGCTAGATAGGAAGTCAAGTAGCCAGAACACAGACCAGCACCCATATGGGATGCTGGCATCTTAAGCAGTTGCTTAACCTGCTATGCCAAAATGCCAGTCCTGTAAAAAAATGAATTCAAAAAAAAATCTTAAAGGTACTAGTTCTCAGTGGGTTCAATTATTATCAGACTGATTTATTCATTATGTAGTTTGTGCATGGGAACTTACCTGATATCTACTGGTTTTATTGCTGAAGCAGTTCAAGATTATTAGAACTTAAATTATTAAGGTGGTAGTCCTGGAAAGTTATATAGTTGCTTATCTGACAGATTTTCTTTCCCATAGTTGGAGGAAGAACTGAAACAACAGAAGGAAGCAGCTTGCTTCAAGGCTCGTCCAAACACTGTCATCTCACAGGAGCCCTTTGTTCCCAAGAAAGAGAAAAAATCAGTTGCTGGTAGTACTACATGTGCTCTTGGGGGTTTGGGGCAGAGTTGTCAACTTCCTAGGGGGTGGATACTGGGATTCCAATTGTGTGAGTACAATGCTTTGGCAACCTGAAGCATTTGACTTTAGAGGATGGTAGCTTTTCTTCCTCTGTACCCTTTGTTGAATACAACAGCTTTATTGAGTTGCACTGTGTATTGGAGCCAGATTAATGTAACAGAGGCCTTAGCAGAAGCAGGTGGTATTTTATCAACAGTAATAGGCTTTCCCACCCATAGATTAGCAAATATATGAGAGAAGATGATCCAGGTGTCTTTCTGGAGTTTATCTGGAAGCAAGCCTTAGATACAAAACATTTGGTTCCTTAAGCACTGCACAGTGTGTTAGAAAATTGAAATTGCTTTGCATCTTCTACATCTGTCTCAAAATTACCATGTAGTTTTGAGCAAGCTACTTCACCTCTATGGATTTTGATTTTCTCTGTTACACTAGATGATTTCCAGAGGCCCTTCCAACTCCAAAATTCTAAGATTTGTCTAAGATTTAATCTTTCTCCCAGTGATTAGCCTTTCTTTCTTTTTTAAAAAAGACACAATCACTTACTATTTCCATAATAATAAGCTCTGAACAAAGTGGAGACAATGACAACACATTTAAACTTCCTGTCAAAAATTAATCTGTTATGAATTTCCAATGGTTCAACTTATTAAAATGTAAAATATATAAAAGAAAACAGGAAATATAAATATTCACATCTTTGCCATATAATGCAATCTCTCTTTAAAAAAAATTTGCAGCATATGTATAATTCTGATGGTGATTCAAATAAACACAAATCACTACTTTTTCCTAACCTCCCTATTATTATTATCTGAATCTGGGAATTGCAGTATTAGAGAATTATGCAAAATTAAAAACAAATTTACTGCTCATAAATAATTTTTATTATTTTAATGTAGCAAAGTGTAAATTTTCAATTAATGTAAGATAATTATTGCCATCTGTAGATAAATAAAACAATTTTGGAGGCAGATGTTTAGCCAAGTAATTAGGATTCTTGCCACTGACCTGGGAAACCTGGGTTGAGTTCACAGCTCATGGCTTAGCCCCACCCAGACCAGCCATTTCAGGCCTTTGGGGAGTGAGTCAGCAGAGGGGAGTATGCTTTCTTTGTCTCAAATAAATATATAAAAATTTTTTAAAAGCTTTATTCATTTATTTAGAATGTCAGCTACAGAGAAAGAGGGAGAGACAGATCTTCCATCTGCTTAAATCAGATGGCTGCAACTGCCAGCGTTGGGCCAGGCCAAAGTCAGGAGCCAGTAGCTTCTTCCATGTCTCCCATGTGGGTGGCAGGAGCCTAAACACTTGGGCCATCCTCTTGTGCTTCTCCCAGGCCATTAGCAGGGAGCTTGATTGGAAGTCCAGCAGTCAGGACTTGAACCAACACCCGTAGGAGATGCTGGTGTCTCAGGTGGCAGCTTTACCCAATATGCCACAGTGCTGGTGCTGGCCCCTATAAAAATTTTAACAAATGCAGATTTAATAACACTTTTATAATAAAACCTAACTAACATGATAATAAAAATATGTGTTTATTTGTATAGATAATATCTGTTTAGGGAAGAAGGTGTCATGGTGAAAATAATTTGGAAAATATTCACCAATGCACATTATGTGCAAAACCTTCTATATAAAACTTAACTATTTTCAGTGAAATAATAGACCATCCAAATACTGTTCTTGAAGGATAAATACATTAACCTAACAGGTAGAACTCAGTTTTTCTGTTGCCATGCATATCTGTTCATTTGCTCAATCCAGGGGGAACTAGGTTTATGCAGTAATTGTGCACCAATATTGTTTCTGTTTCTGTACTCAGAGGGCCTTTCTGGTTCTCTAGTTCAGGAACCTTTTCAGCTGGCCACTGAGAAGAGAGCCAAGGAGCGGCAAGAGCTGGAGAAGAGAATGGCTGAAGTAGAAGCCCAGAAATTCCAGCAGTTGGAGGAGGCCAGGCAACAGGAAGAAGAGCAGAAGAAGGAGGAACTAGCTAGGCTCCGGAAAGAACTGGTAACTGGCAGCATGAGTACTAACTAACCCAGGGTGCCTCTGTTTTATTTGCATCTGACCTTGTTCCAGGCAGAATCTAAGGTGGCCCACAAGCCTACACCAAAAACAAGTGAAAGGGAGATCATGTAAACTGAGGGTACTGATGAAGTTTAGACAAGAATGAGGTTAGGGGTGTGTATATACATTGTGACCCAACTATGAACTGTAATTTTGGCCCTTTTTAGTAATTAACCTGCCACTTCAGAAACTTACAATGTTTATAAGATGTAAAGCCAGTAGTTCAAAAAATATATTTGTCCTTGGGGCCAGCGCTGTGGTGTAGCTGTAGTGCTGGCATCCCTTATGGGCACCAGTTCATGTCCCCGCTGCTCCTCCTCTGATCCAGCTCTCTGCTATGGCCTGGGAAAGCAGTGGAAGGTAGTCCAAGTCCTTGGGCCCCTGCACCCACATGGGAGACCAGGAAGAAGTTCCTGAATCCTGGCTTTGGATCAGCCCAGCTCTGGCCATTGCAGCCATTTGGAGAGTCAAGAGAAGCAGCTGGGACATGAAGTGGTGCCCATAAGGGATGCCAGCACTGCAGGCAGAGGCTTAACCCACTATACCACAGCGTTGTTCTCCACCAATGGTCATTTTTACATTAGGATATCATGTCTTGTAACCATGCACAGTGATGCATTTCCTAGGATTCTTTCTGTTTGCTTTACTTATTTAAGTTATTCATTATTTCTTTTGGGCTTAAGGGCCAATGTGCTTTACAATTAGGCAAGAAACAGAAAAGAACGTGAGAATTACAAGATTAAATAGAGAAACACATAAGTTGTTGAGATTTTGTCTAAACAGTGGGCTTGCAACTGAAACCTCTTTTGGTACAGGTGACTGGGCCTACTGGAAGGCTCTAAGGACAACTTACTCAAGAGGCTAGCCTCTTTGCAAAATCCAAACTACCATTTGTTGATTGAAAGAGAAAACAATATAATCCCTACTCCAGATACACTCATAACATCAGACTCAACTTCTTTGATTATTCTGTAATACTTGATACCTGCCTGTTGTGTTTGCTCCTGTTACAAGGCTATTTCTTTTACAATTCCCAGGGCAGGCCCATTGAAACATTCTACAGCACAATTCAGTAAATGCAGTGTCTCTGTTCTAATCTGGCTCGATTCAGGGTTGATTATTAGAGTACCCAAAAGCCTTCTCCAGCAAACTTCTTGCTGGTTCTTGTTGTTTTGTTTTTAAGTTCATGCTGTTGGTGAATAATAATAGTCAAGTTTTTTGTTGTTGTTTTGTTAAAAATTTATTTATTTGAAAGTCAGAGTTACACAGAGAAGGAGAGGGCTAGAGAGAGAGAAATCTTCCATTCGCTGGTTCATCCCCAAATGGCTGCAATGAGTGGAGCTGGGCCGATCTGAAGCCAGGAACCAAGAACTTCTTCCGGGTCTCCCACATGGGTGCAGGGACCCAGGAACTTGGGTCATCTTCTACTGCTTTCCTGGGCCATAGCAGAGAGCTGAATCTGAAGTGGAGCAGCCAGGACTTGAACTGGCGCCCATATGGGATACCAGCACTGCAGGTGGCAGCTTTATCCCTTACGCCACAGCACCAACCCCAGTAGTCAAGTTTAAGATTGTACTGTAACAAATTCTTAATTTGTAAAATTCTGCTACAATTGAGTACAGCCCCTTTTACTCTTTGACACCGGAGATGGGTTTTTTTGTTTTGTTTTTAAGATTTATTCATTTGAAAAGCAGAGTAATAGAGAGAGGGAAAGATAGAGAGATCTTCCATCCTCTGGTTCACTTCCCACATGGCTGCAATGGCTAGGCTGGTCCAGGCAGAAGACAGGAGCCAGGAGCTCACATCCCGTGTGGTTGCAGAGGCCCAAGTACTTGGGCAATCTTCCGCTGCTTTCCCAGGCACATTATCAGGGAGCTGGATTGGAAGTGGAGCAGCCAAGACTCAAACCAGTGGCTTAACTCATGTTGCCACAACACCTTCAGTGAAAGCTGAGGAACCCAGCAAAACCCTGAATAAACAGAAATCTGGGCTCCAAAACCCTGTGTACTTTTCCATTATACTGTGTTGTCTTACCCACTCCCCCTTTCTTTAAGTTAGTGACTGGGATCTGCAAGTCTATGCAAACATTTTCTCAGAAAGAAATAAAAGCAACTATAAGCATTGTTTGCTAATATTCTAGTCAGTGGTAACTTTATTTTCCTTACTCTGCAGGTGCACAAAGCAAATCCAATACGCAAGTATCAGGGTGTGGAAGTAAAGTCAAGTGACCAACCTCTGACTGTGCCTGTATCTCCCAAGTTCTCCACTCGATTCCACTGCTAAACTCAGCTGTGACCTGCAGATACTGCCTGGCAGCTGGAGCTGCTTTTAACGTCAAACCAGGAGCCTTCTTCCTTGTCGCTGGGAGTGGAGAGAACCGATTTCTCCAGTCTTTTCAGCTACTCGTGTCAGACAGAATGTACTTGACAACTATGGGCTCAAGTTTTGTTGAGAGTTGTTTTTTTTTTTGAGGCTAATAATGAGACTCAATTCATGTATGCCTTGATTAGACTCCATGTAGTTATTTCCTTTATACCATCAGTTGACCTTTAATATGTGTCTTAACTCTGGCTAGAATTTCAAGTCTCTGTGATAGCACAGTGCAGTCTTTATTCCCATTGCCCCCTTCTGCCTTTCTTATATATATATATTATTATTATTATTTTTAAATCAGAAAATAAAGATAGTTAAATCCTGAGATAGGGTTTAAGTCCTGGTTTCAATGAGGAGCAAATGCTACTTCAGATTCTTTCCTCCTCTCTGCACAAATGAGTTTGTAGTTAAGAAGCCCTGTGCTATAAGGGTGAAAACCTCATTAACTGCATCACTGAGGAAGAAGATGGCGTGAACGCATGGGAACCTCACAGCAACCATTTGGCAAGCTTTGGGCAGAGCTGGTTTTAAGGTATCTTCTTCCCTTATCTGTGCTGAGAATTACAGAGAGCAGTGCAGTGTGCATTTTAAAACCTGGCATGTAATAAATACTTTTCGTCTTCTCCTCTCTCATTTTGTTATTTGATACTTTTCAAATCTGTCAAGCCTCTTTGAAGGACATCTCTCACTGGGGAAATGGGTAGTTTGAGAGGTGGGTCCAGAATCTTTTTTTTTTTTTTTTTAAGATGTATTTATTTGAAAGGCAGAGTGACAGAGAGAGAGAGAGAGGAAGAGACAGATCTCCCATCCGCTGATTCACTTCCCAAATGGCCACAACAGCCAGAGCTGGGCCAGGCTAAAGCCACAAGCCAGGAGCTTCTTCCAGGTTTCCTATGTGGGTGCAGGGTCCCAAGCACTTGGGCCATCTTCTGCTATTTTCCCTAGTGCACTAGCAGAGAGCTGGATGAAAAGTAGAGTAGTCCTGACTCAAAGTGGTACCAGCATGGGATGCCAGCCCTACAGGCCATAGCATAACTTGCTGTACCACAATGCCAGCCACTCCAGAAACTTGAAAGCACAGGCTCAGTCCTTAAAAAAAAAAGTTGTAATTTTTTTTCTTATATTAGAATATTCTTCCATATTTTGTTAACTCCCTCCCAGTAACTACCCAGTGTTCTGTTACACCTTTGTATAGACTGTTTCTTAACAAAACGACCTTTATCACATCTGGTATATTCTTCCCTGTAAGACTCAGCTCAAGTAAAATATTTTTTAGAAATTGTTCTTTAAATATCTGACCTCCTCAGGTAAGCACGGTGACTTCCTTCTTTGTGCTTCCCAGATGTTTCTTGTGCCTATCCCTTGTAGAGCAGTTTCAGCATGTCTGAGTTACTTGTACTTTTTATAAACTAATAGAGATGCAAATATTTAAGTTGCTTAAAGATAAGAATTATCATAGTCATCTCTCTGTTTCTTGTGGATAGCACAATATTGGGTTATGTTCATATTAAGTGATATATTTTCTTTTAGACTTTATGTATTGTTTTTGAATATCTGTTCTTACCTGTCATTTACACCTGTGTCGGGGGCTAACAAAGCATCCATATGATGCCCAGGCTAGTCAAAGGTACTGTATGACATCAAGCCTATTTTAAATTCATTTTTTATGCATCCAGTGAGCGTTTATAGATTTCCTATTATGTAGAAGCCATTGTAGATGGAGCAGTAGGTGACAGAGTAAGATACTGTGTCTCACGGTACAATTTGCAGACCCCTGGGCCTCTTGACTGCCCACAACTGGTGCAAAGTACAGTTCCTGTGTTCATTTCCTAAATGCCTGTGGTATATAGTTTCCTAACTTTTTAGTTCATTTAATAAGTTCTTATTTGGAGCTAACTATATATGTCTTGGCACTGTTCTATCCCTGACAATACAGCAATGAGAAAAGGAACATTTGCCTTCATGGAGCTTAGGTTTTAAAAGGGGAGATACACAATAAGCAAGTAACTATTGTGTCAGGTGGGAAATGTTGCTCCAACTGCCAAGCAGTGAATAGAATAGGGTAGGGAAGAGCAGCTTGCGTGTTTTAATTGGGATGGTGAAAAAACTCTCTTGTTCCAGTGAAAGCTAATAGTGGCTTGGGGTAGTGGGGTGGCAGTGGGGTGATGAGAGGCGGTTGGATTCTGAATGATTTTGATGGGGTAACTGGCAAGATTTGCTAACGGATTGAATGTGGGTGGAGAGTGAAAGAAAGTGGAATTCTAGAGGTTGCCAAGGTATCAGCCCTCTCCCTTATACTATGGACATCCTAGTCAATCCTGGTTCTTATTTTTCTTGTGGATTCTCAGGTCAATGCATTGTTTTTTCCCCTGTTTATCTCTACACCACAACACCAGGCTCTTGGTCATGATTTTCTATTGCTAATATTCTGATACTAATTAATATACTCGAAATAGTATTCACTTTTTTTTAAAGGATTTATTTATTTGAAAGGCAGAGTTATGTAGAGGCAGAGAGAGAGAGAGTCGTCTTCCATCCGCTGGTTCACCTTCCAAATGGCCACAACACTGGAGCTGGCCGATCTGAAGCCAGGATCCAGGAGCCCCTTCCGGATCTCACACATGGGTGAAGGGGCCCAAGGACTTGGGCCATCTTCCACTGCCTTCTCAGGCCACAGCAGAGACCTGGATGGGAAGTGGAAAAGCCGGTGGATGCTGGCACTGCAGACAGTGGATTTACCCACTACACCACAGCACTGACCTCACTACTGTTCACTTTTGCATCGATTGTTTTATACTTGCATAAATTTTTGGTTGCTATTTTCTCCCTTTTTGGTTTTCTTTAGAGTTTTGTTTCTAAATTAAAGTGATACACAGACTGCAGTCGATCATTGTAACACAAGATGGGATGTGAGGGGCCAGCACTGTGGCATAATGAGCAAAGCCACCCGAGTCTGCAGTGCCAGGATCCCATATGGGCACCAGTTCCCATCCCAGCTGCTCCTCTTCTAGCTCTCTTCTATGGCCTGGGAAAGCAGTAGAAGATGGCCCAAGTTCTTGGACCCCGGCACCCGCATGGAAGATCAGGAAGAAGCTCCTGGCTCTGGATCTGGCCAGTTACAGCCATCTGGGGAGTGAACCAGCAGATATAAGACCTCTCTCTGTGTCTCTCCCTCTGTTTCTCTCTCTAACTCTGCCTCTCAAATAATAAATAAATCTTTTTTTGAAGAAAATAGGTGAGATGTGATTCAGTAATGTGAGATACAGTGCTTTGGGAGTTTAGGGATTCTTGCTAGCAATGAGGTTTCATGCAGTTTAAAGCCTTTTTTTTTTTTTTTTTTTTTTAAAGTAAAAATTGCAAAAGAAGCATTGCCTTTTAGAAACAATACAACTCTGGAGCTGGGACTGTTGTGTTGGTTAAGTTGCTGTCTGTAGCGCTGGCATCCAATATAGGCACAGTTTGAGTCCTGGCTCCTCCACTTCTGATCCAGCTCCCTTCTAAGGCACCTGGGAAAGCAGCAGAAGATGGCCCAAGTGCCTGGGTCCCTGCACCCACATGGGAGACCTAATGAAGCTCCTGGCTTCTGAGTTCTTAGGTAGGGCCTATTCTTAGCTGTTGCAGCCATTTGGAGAGAACCAGTAGATGGAAGATCCTCCCTCCCTCTCTCCCTTTCTCTGTGTAGCTCTGCCTTTCAAATAAATATTTTAAAAAGTAAAAGTAGGCTGGCGCCGCAGCTCACTTGGCTTATCCTCTGCCTGTGGCACCGGCACCCCGAGTTCTAGTCCCAGATTGGGGCACCGGATTCTTTCCTGGTTGCTCCTCTTCCAGTCCGGTTCTCTGCTGTGGCCTGGGAGTGCTGTGGAGGATGGCCCAAGTGTTTGGGCCCTGCACCCACATGGGAAACCAGGAGGAAGCACTGGCTCCTGGCTTCGGATCGGCGCAGCGCACTGGCCATAGCAGCCATTTGGGGAGTGAACCAAAGGAAGGAAGACCTTTCTCTCTGTCTCTCTCTCACTGTCTAACTCTGCCTGTCAAAAAAAAAAAAAAAGTAAAAATAAAACTATAAAACAAAAAAAATTAAAATCTCTTTCCTATATTCCTATTCCCCAGAAGTAACTTGTTGCTCACTAGGGTGTTCTAGAATGTTTGTTATGTGCACAGGTATTTACAGAGCATTTCAACCTTTTTTTAGATCGTGAAATTGTGGCATTCTGTACTTTTTCTGAACTTTGTTCTTTAGTTATGCATTCACTGAAAGACATTAAAGGTAAAAATTGTTTTCTTCTAACTGTGTAGTTCCCCTTCCCGGAGATATTGTTCTCAGTATCTTGTGTTCCCTTGCAGAGATGATTTCTGTATCTTGTTCCCCACTTGTTTTTTATACAAATAGCATCACACTGTATTCCCTGTACCTTACTTTTTTCAGTGTGTTAAGTATTTGATGTGATTCAGGTGCTACTTTGGGCATATCTGGGTTTCCTTCTTGGCTGAAACATTTGGTGATATGGAGGCAGACCTCTGCATGATGTCCTGGGCTAATGAGCTGAGGTCCCAAGGACTTGAAGGTGGGCCAGCAGCATTAGGCCTTTAGCCCCTCCTGGCTTATTAGTTGAGCCTTGGGGACTTAGGGCTTGAGCATCTGGTTGAACCTGTGTATCCCAGTAGATAAATCTTGACACTGATTCCTTTTCATTTCCCTTGGAAAAGGCTGTCTCACTGAATCATGTCTGCTTTGGAAGTTCATTGCTGAGAGTAGCAGTTAAAAAAGCTGTTAGACACGTGGCTGGGCTCCTATTTCTGCACAGACAGGCTGAGTTACAGCTTGGTGGTGTGGATCCAGGTAGGAATTGGTCAACATTCTGAATCCTGAGCTGCCATCAGCCTTGCAGCCTGCTGGGATGCTCATTTTAGACAACATATAAAGTTTCCTGGATATGGGACAACCTCAGGCCTATGGAAAGAGCAGGAAGGTTAAAGTGTGTGGTACTTTCAGCAGTGACGAAGGCGTAACCAGGGAACTGACATGTTTGCTTCAATGCCAAGAATTCCAGGACAATTTGTTATCCAGCTAAAGCCAGTATAGTTGCTACAAAAAAGAATCTTGGGAACAAAAACTTAACTTTTTCCTCAATTCCTTTGTCTTCTTGCACGTACCCAGTTTATTTTCTAACTCTATAGTAAAGGTTGCTGATGCTGGAAATGTCTGAATTTTGCTATTCTCTTCTTGTAAGCAAATATTTGTTATTCTCTTTCTTGTAAGAGAATGAGAGGCTGGGCTCAGGCCAAAGCATGGCTCTTATGTGCTAAAGGTATCATCTTCCTAAAAGAGCTTCACAAGTGCTGAGGTTTCACTCAGAGAAACCGTAGTTGGAAGGTTAGGGATATAAGCTTTAAGGAAATACAGATTGAGTATTCATCTGAAATGCTTGGGACCAGAAGAGATTTTGGATTTGGGGATATTTGCATGTTTGGGAAAGGGATACAAGTCTAAATGTGAAATTCATTTGCTTCATATAATTTTACACACTTAGCATATATTTTAAAAGTTTTTTGTTTGACACAGTTTCATGGTATAGAGTTTTCTTATGGTGTCATGTTGGTACTTAGAAATTTCTGAGTTTGG